TGTCCTCTGCACACAGCAAATAAACAATTCGCATATAAATTAGGTAGAATCCAATCAAAATCACCCAAATATCGCATATGATATGAATATAAAATGCATGCGATTTCTAATTATCACAACTCAACTAATAAAATAATTCAATAATAACTAGATCCTATTTTTATTTTTATTTTTATTTTTATTTTTATTTTTTTCCGAAAAATAGCCTCCATGTCATCAACCTCCGATTCCACCGCTATAATGTAATAATAATCTACGCGCTGTATGCTACCATTTGATTTCCGCACACGAAATATGTTCGTACAAAAACCTATATCACATCAATTATAGGCACATGATTTCAATTAGAGCTCGCAAAAACTAATTCGACACAGCAATCGGTACGAACCGACACAAGATAATTAAGTTTTGATCAAGAAATTAAGTTATGGGTTAACACGAAACCGATACGATAATAAACGAGTTGGGCTAAGGTTGATGCTCTCAACATGACAATCCGATTTTTATATATTAGTATAAATTTATTACATATGTAAAATAGTTTTAATTTAATAATTAGTCAGTATATTAATTTAATTATAAATAATCCAACTTAATTCAGTAAACACGTTATACTAAAACCGATAAAAACTAACATAATACGAGAACCCGATAAGAAATAGGAGTAATTGGATTTGGATCAAATATTTTGATCAAATTATATATGCGGATCAACACGAATTCAATACGATTAAAAATAGATCAATACGAATCCGATACGATATTAAACAAATCGTGTTAGAATTTAGTGATTTTACTCATTTAAAGTATTCAATCTAACACGAATTCGACATAAATCGACCATTTCGAGGTCTAATTTCAGCTCTTGAACTCTGGGGGACTGATCGTAAATTTATTATTACCGATCTGACGTCATTTTTTTCGATTTTCTTTGACACAGTAGGAATGGGTAAAGGAAAAAAAAATAGAAAATAAATAAAAGTAAATCTATAATCTATAATTAAAGATAATTTTAATATGATTATATAAAAAGTACTCTCTCATTTTTTAACATATTTTTTTTCTTTTGGTTTGTTCTACAATAAAATACTCAAATTACTCAAATTTATTGTTAATAATTGTCCTACCTATTTAATATTTTTTTTGTCCCTATCTGTCGTTTCTTTTTTTGAAATATAATTATACACTTTAATTACATATTAAAATTCATAATTTATATTTTTTTATATTTTAATTAAACTATAGTTATCTTAATCTTAATTTATAATTATTTATATTAAAACATAATTATTTTTCACTGATACACTTCTTAATTACTTACTAATTATACAATACCTAAAGCTAGGACAATTTAACAGGGATGAAATGAGTATTAAATTTATTCTTACAACTTACAATGTATTACAAAATATCATTATCTTTGTATCACAGTACTAATAAAATTATTTTATCATTTTTAAAATTTTTTTTATTATATATTAATATTAAAAAATTTAAATAAAAAACAAATACTTATTAAAAAAGACAGTAAATATATTTTTCACATTTTAAAAAATAAAAAATTGGAAGCAAGGGGCGCAGCAGCAGCAGCAATAATAATAATAATAATAATAATAATAATAATGATCGATTATACTTCCATATAATTTGTCCCTATTTTTTATTTTTGTCCGTCCCACATAACTTATTTTTTCTATTTTTGGAATATAATTATGTACTTTAATCGCATTTTAAATTTTAAATTTTATAATTTTCTTAATTTTAATTAAACTATTTACTTATCTTAATCTTAATCTATAATTATTTTTACTAAATAATAATTATTTTTACAAATATACTTCTTAATTACTTACTAATTATATTTTACCTAATTTTTCGTATCTACAGTAATACACCCATATTACATGGGACGGATGGAGTATAAACATGTATATATACAGGTATTATACGCTATTGACACCCGGTCCTTGTTTATAAGTCATCACAAGAAAATTATAAAATAATAATAAATGCATGAATTGTTAAATAAAATTATTATGGAAAATCTAAGCTGCCATTTGGAAAATTAATCACAAGAAGACATACATGACTTATCTACGAAGCTACAAAATATTTATTATTAGATATGAAAGTATTGATCTGATTTTTTAACGAATAATATCAAATATTTAAAAATAAAATTTAATTCGTCTGCGAAATAATAACTTGAAATTTATGTTTGTATTTTTTTTTTTTTTTTATTTGATAGATCAAATGATGTATATTAATACCAAAGTAAGAATATTATTTGAATTCATAATTTTACACTCACAAATTTACTCCATATCGTTAAATTACTCCCTCTGTCCAGTTAGAAAGTATACATATTTCTATTTTGGGACGTCCAATTACAAAGTAACCATTTCATAAATACTTCATTTTTTCCATAAATACCCCTATTTTACATCACATCATTACTTTTATATAAAAAAGTAAGGGCAAAAATGTCATTTTACTACTTTTACCTACCCACTATAATTAAAATACTATTATTATTTAATCTCCGCGCCAAAAGTTTGTATACTTTTAGCTTGGACGGAGGGAGTATTTTTTACAGAACATTCCAATCATCTCTTTTTTTTTTTGTTTTTTTTTTGATCGGAAATCGATCTTTAGTTTTATATTCCTCCGTCTCTTAACAATCTATCTATTTTTTTATTTTAGTCCGTCCCATAACAAAGTATTTATTTGTAATTGTACTGTCTTTCTAACATTACAAATACCCTTCCAATTTACAATATATTACACAAATGTTATTACATTTATATCATACAATATTAATAGGGTTCATTTAATCTATTTACCTTTATTTCTACTTTATCTCAATATAATACTAATATAAATATGAGACGGACAAAGTATAACGTAGAGAGAGTAGAAATTACTTATTGGTAAAATAAAAAATAATTTATTTTTTTTGCATTTTTAATTTTTGTGAGGGGGCATTCTATATGTTATATATATATATATATATTATGTGAGTATATATATTATGTTTACTAGTAATATTAATCGAAAAATATGTATATATTTTTTTATAATAATAATTATTATATCTTAATTACAATTTATTTATTGTGCATGTTATCATCAACATTTTGCATTTAATTTTCCTAATTGAATGATTATGAATAGTTGTGAATGTCTCACATTGCAATTCAAAGTCAAAAAAAACACATAAAAGCAAGAAAAAGGTCGAAAAAGATATTTGTGGAATCGACAAACAGACACATAAATATGAAATATTATTTGTATTTCACATCCTTTTCTATTATTTTTAATTAGATTGAAAATTCTAATATTTGAACAATTTTTATTTATATATATATATATTCATATTTCAAATGCAATATATCTAATATTTTATATAAAAAAATTTAAAATTTAAAACTATCAAAATTATACTACTGTGTAAAAAATTGTATCGAAAAATTAGCAATGAATTTGAAATGGAAAAAGTATGAAATATCATTACAAGGCGTCTTATCATGTTGGACCAGCACTCCCCGACCTCACTTAATAGTTGCTGGTCCAATTAAGCCACGTGCATTTTCACGCAATACGACGCCGTTTCAAACCGTCTGTTTCTTATTTATGTTTGGAGGGCTTGAATTCTAGATTTTAATTTTAAATAGTAAAGTTTTAAATTTAATTGGTCAGTTAGTGACATAAATACATATTTGTATGATATTTTAAATATAAATATAATTTTTACTGTATTATAAAAAATAAAATATAAATAATCATTTATTTAAAAAAAGATGATAAGATGCATAGAGTAAGATTTTGGAAACGTTTCAATTCAAAGTATTTCCTATATTTTAGAACTGTTAAACGAACCGAACCGTTCGTGGCTCGGTTCGGCTCGGTTAAAGCTCGTTCGCGAACGTTAACGAGCCAAGCCGAACAACATAAACAGGCTCGTTTGATTAACGAACGAGCCCAAGCTTTGTTCGCGAACGTTCGTTTAAATAATATATTTATTATAAATATTATATATACATATAAAATCATAATTTATAAATAAATAAAATATTAATTTAAAATATATAAATACAATAATTTTAAATTTTCTTTATAATTTATATATAAATTTAAAAAAATAAGACAAACGAGCTCGAACAAACTCGAACGAGTTTAAACAAGTCTAAACGAGTCGAACACGAACACGAGCTCAAACAACAAAAATTCTTAACGAACCGAGCTCGAAAGCTTAACGAACGAGCCCGAGCCTTATTCGCGAACGTTAACGAACACTTAAAATTTGGCTCGGCTCGGCTCGGCTCGGACCGTCAACAGTTCTACCTATTTTACTAAAGTAATAGTATATTAATATCAAAATATTTTTACTTTTAGTTAAATTGCATAAATACTAATACAATTATTTTTACGTGGGAACTAACAATCGTTACCGAAGTGCATAATCAAAATATTTTTACTTTTAGTTAAATTGCATAAATACTAATACAATTATTTTTACATGGGAACTAACAATCGTTACCGAAGTGCATACTGGATAAATCTCCGACTGAATCTAATACCCAACAAATCAAATTCAACAAAGAAGTCACACTAGGCGAATTATGTGTGAGTGTGGCAGGACCTGAGGCCAACCATATTAAATAACACTACACTCCTTTTCCTCCAACTTGGCAAAGGACAACTTAGAGGGGCCTAAAAAAAGCGCACAGTCGCTCTCTGAATCTCTCGTGAAAGTGATCAAACACGGCCGTGTCTAGTGAAACACGGCCGTATTTCCATTCACAACACTCTGGAGTATACACGACCAGATACTAGGTGTACGGTCGTGTTCATTTAGCTCATGAACTAGCCCATTTATAAAAAAACACAATCATATTTGTTGCAACTCGATTTTGCCCGCGGCGACAATCTCGAATGCGGCACAGACGAGCACACCAGCGGCATTAGTTCGCCTCTAGGCGGCCGGGATTGGAAATCGATTTTCAGATGTCGAAATTGATGTAACTCCCGGAGGAGGAAATTTTAATCCGTACAGTCCACAGGTAAAGCCAATATAATTACCAAAAACAATCAAACAAACAACAATAATCATGTAAAAAGCACAGAGCCAAAACAAACCTCAATTTGTAGATACAATTAATTTCTTTCACAGTTCAGTTCTTGTGCTGCATTCTCCCGCTTTCGGCGCCGGCAAAAGGATCGATCACAACATTTATGACAGTAGGTTTCCGAGCAGAAAACGCCTCGGCGAGAGCAGATTTCAGCTCGTCTGGAGTCGCTGCAAGATACCCTTTTCCTCCAAAAGCTTCCAGAAGGATGTGGTAAGCAGCGCCGGGAACAAAAGACGTTGGCGCAGGATCGTCCTTGTACGGCCCCGAGATTTCCTCCGGGTTTCTACGATCTCCGCCGTATACTCCGCCATTGTTGAACACTATTACGACCACGGGTAATTGGTAGCGCACCAGTGTCTACACAAAGCTCTGTTTCGGTTAATCATATACACAATACAAAGAAACAAATCGTATAGCTATGCGTAGCATTCCCAATATATATATGCCAAGACGACGTAAAATGTAGGTAACTTCTGAGAACTAAATTCCAAAACATGTAATAGATGAATCGAATTCAAATTCAAATTCATATATTTATTTATGGATCCGAACAGGCTAGCTCGACTAAGCTCCTATACAATTTTATTGATGTCTTAAGACTTCATCTAACTAAATGGATCGATTCTATTCCACTAGGACACATCCTTCCCTAAAATCAATTACTTCGTTCGTCCGTCTCTAAAGTTTACATTTACCTTTCACGTCGTTGTATTTGATATTAAAAAACCCTTATATTTGACATAGTAGAAATAAATATAAAAAGACTAAACTAACCTTATTAGTATTGTATGATATAAAGGTAATAGCATTTGCGTAATATATATTGTAAATTAAAAGGATATTTGTAATGTTAGAGTAGACAAGAAATTGTGTTATTTTTAATAAATACAAAATTTGTACAAATTATATTTGATTTGAATTTAAAGTGGGTCATATTCTCTAAATGAGTCATTTGATCCTCCTTCCAGGTCGATTTATTTTCCAACTTAATTTTCGATGGCTTCTTTGATCCGAAGAGGTTTGGTCTTCGGTTTGACTTTGCCGGCTTTTGGAGAGTTTTGGTCTCCGTGCAGGCGATTTGATCGTCGGGTTTGGATTTGATATCTTTTTTAGACGATTCAAGGCTTTGATCTTTGATTTGACTTTGCCGCCTTTTGGAGAGCTTTGGTCTCCGTGTTGGCGATATGATTGTTGGCTCTGGATTTGATGTCTTCTTTAGACGATTCGAGACTTTGATATTTGCTTTGGTTTTGCCGCTTTTAGAGGACTTTGGTCTCCGCGTAGGTGATTTGATCATCGGCTTTGGATTTGTTGTTTTCTTTAGACGATCCGAGGTTTTGATCTTTGCTTTAGCTTTGCCGCTTTTGGAGGGTTTTGATGTCTCCGCGTAGGCGATTTGATCATCGACTTTGGATTTGTTGTCTTCTTTAGACGATCCTAGGCTTTGATCTTTGCTTTGGCTTTACCGCTTTTGGAGGACTTTGGTCTCCATGTGGGCGATTTGATCATAGCTTTGGATTTGATGTCTTATCTGCAGCTTTGCTCTTTGAGGAGGTGGATTTGGTGCTCCATAACGTTTTTGGCAGCGTGTCCCTTTGACTTTTGGATTGAAGAGGACCGAGTTGTTGCTTTGGTGATAACGCGATGAACATCTCGAAACTTTGAGATGAACTTTGGATGCTCTTCCTTGCTTTGATGGACTCTTCAATGGCTTTTGGAGCTTTGATCCTTGAAGAGGTGGATTTGGTGTTCCATAACACTTTTGGCGGCGTATCCCTTTGACTTTTGGATCGAAGTTGATGCTTTGTTGAAGAACGTGATGAACATCTTAAAGCTTTGAGAGAAACTTTGGAGACCTTCCTTGGCTTTGACGAATTCTTCAACGACTTTGGGAGCTTTAATCCTTCCTCCGGCTTGAGCATACGACGAAGAACGTTAACTTCATCGATTCGTCGACCAATATTGGATCATTTGTCCAAATCAGTGACTTTCAACGATGAACGGTTCGAAGGACACAAAGAACATGAAGAACAATACACAGAGAGAGTCTAGAGACTTATCCCTTTGCTTGAATTTTCGATGTAACTTCGGTGTATCAAATGAACTGGCCATGGCTCCTATTTATAGAAGAGGGGTGTCCTCGACTTCCTTTTTTAATGGTGCCACATGGCGCATTTTGATTGGCTAATAGGAAGATTTTATAACCTTTCATTTTCCATCGGATGCTCTTTTCCATTCTTGACGGATTTGATTGTGCACCGTCAAAATCTTTATATCATTTAATATATATACTTCATTTATTGACAAGATTAATTATTTTGCTGTCAAATTTATTATGGCTCTATTTATGCACATAATATTTGTACGATATCTTCCATTTTAGGCAGATTTTTGCATTAATGGTTGATATTTATTGTACAAAATTAACATATATGCATAATTAAATACCATATATTTATTTTATTGGAATTTTATTTTCTTCCAAAATACATGATATTTAATTGATTTTAGACATATATTTTTAGTGTCTACTGTTAGGTAGATAGTAGAGTTACTAAGAAAGAAAATACATACTTGAAACGGACTAAAATAGAAAAATAGATAGTTTGTTAAGGAACGGAGGGAGTAGTATTATAAGACGATAGAAGTGTTTTTGTCATTTTTCTCTTAATTTGTACTACGTTTTGATATAATAATTAATATTAAAAAATCAAACATGCAAAAAGTAAATGTGGCTATTAGAGCCGGACGGACGGAGGGGGTATAAGTTATAACACTACCTCTTCTAATAGTTCTATCGCAATTCTCACCAATCGTCATCAACATTTCTAATAACTAAGTATATCATCACAAGCAACGACTCCAACAAACCACGGTATAAAAGCTAATTATCAAAATCACCAAGACTATTTTAAAAGAAGGCGATAATATATTACGATCCTTATATTTCATTTTGTAGCAAAGAAACTAATGTACCTCAACTTCCATGGCACTGAATCCAAACCCCGAGTCCCCTTCCACAGCCACCACCAATCGATCAGGCGATGCCACAGCAGCAGCAATACAGTATCCAAGGCCAACCCCCATTGTCCCCCAAGTTCCCGCATCCAACCTAGTCCGCGGCTCCATTTGCACAAGAACAGCTCGCCCGAGATCCATGGTATTAGCCCCTTCGGAAACCAGTATGGGAGCAGGACTACCCAACCCCAAAATTGCATCCCTTATAATCTTCATCGGCGTAAGAAAATTAAACGGCACCACTTCCTTCGCCAACTGCGCCTCCATATTTGCCAGATTTTCATTACTCTTCCCCCTTAGCGCCTCCACCCACGGATGTGTCTTCCCCAAGCAAAATGGATCATCTTTGATCTCCTTGTGCAGCATCCCCACGACTTCTTTAGCATCCCCGACTATCCCCAAACATGGCTTCCTCAATTCAATCTCCTCTTCGGATATGTCGACGAGGATGAACTTCACCTCTTTCGACCACTTTGGTGGCTCCCCAAAATGCAATAGCCAATTCAGCCTGGCTCCAACCACCAATGCTACATCACATTTCCCAATTGCTAGAGATCTTGCAGCTGTGGCTGCGAGTTCATGGCTGTCGGGAAGCAGCCCTTTCCCCATGGGAGTAGGCAGGAATGGAATTCCAGTGCTTTCGATTAATTTTGTGAGCTCATTTTCTGCTCTGGAATAAGCTGCTCCCTTTCCAAACACTATCAGAGGTCTCTGGGAAGTTTTCAGTAATTCTACAGCCTTTTGGATCGTGGTGGAATTGGAAACCCTAGGATTTTGAATCAATTGATTTTTCCGATAACTTAGGGCTTCGGCGATCAATTGCTCCGCCTCGGACTCATCGATGGTTTGATGGAGGACATCGGAGGGGAGGTCGAGATAGGTCCCTCCGGGACGGCCGGAAGCTGCCGAATCGATGACGCTGAAGACGGATTTGGGGATTTTGGTTATGTCCGTCGCTTTGGCGGAGAATTTGGCGAAGGGCTTAGCGGCGGCGATTTGATCGAGCTCCTGAAAGTCGCCGCGGCCGGTGAAACTCTGGTCGGAGGAACCGGAGATCATGACCATAGGCCAAGCGTTTGCGGCGGCGTTGGATAGGCCGGCGAGGCCGTGGACGCAGCCGGGGCCGGAGACGGTGAGGAGAACCCCTGGGCGGCGCGTGAGGTAGCCGTACGCCGAGGCGGCGTACCCGGCCGACTGCTCGTTGTGGAAGGCGATGAATCGGACGCCTAGCGCCACCGCCTTGTTAGCGAGTGACGTCACGGGGATTCCCACCACACCGAACATCCTATCTACGCCCGCGCGTGATAGGCACATTGCGACTAGCGCGTTGCCGTCGATTTTTGAGGGGTTTTCGATCGCCATTGATAGGGTTTTGGGATTAATCGATCGAGCAGAACGGCTGATCGCGGGGACAATCCGATGATCCTATCGAATTCCCGAAACACAGCAATTGCGATTGTGACTTATGAGAAGAAATTAAAACCGCGTGAACTGATCTGACGGTAAGAATTACTTGTACTTGTGGGAGATAATACCTGCAGTTAGTACGTGCAGTTCCTAACTTTCGGAGCGCCGAGGCGAAATAAAAGTTCGAGGTCTTAAATATATATATATATATCTATATAATATTTTTTTAACTATAATTTTATTATAGTTAAAAAAATATTATTTTAATTTAATTTTAAAAATTGTGTAAGATTCTTTTATATTTTAATAAAACGCTTTATAAAACTTAATTTACAAAAAAATATAAATAAAAAGTTATTTTTTCATTATTAAATCATGATCTTGTACCAATATATCAAATAATATTTATATATAAATAATTTTTATATAATATAAATAAATAATAAACCTTAATTTAGATTAGGCCTAAGCGAACGTCCTTTTTGTCCAGGGCCAAGGATGGCCTGAGTTAGTACCTGAAGAAGACGACGACGCCGCAACCCTTAGCGGAGTTGGCTTCTACTTTCATTGTTATATCAGTTTCAAACCATTTTTGTTGTAAGATATGGATACCGATGTCAAATCGGACGGGTTAGGGCAGTCTAAAAAATTTAGTTCGGGACGGGTTGTTAATTTTGAATTTTAGATCTGATCGGATTCGGAATCGGATAACGAATTTTACTATAAACCCGCTCTACCCCAGACTCGGATCTGAACCCGAATATTTTAATAATTATTATAATTTATTTATATTTTTATATAATATAAATTATATATTTATTTATTTAAAAAATTTTAAATATAAAATAAAATTTAATATTAAACCAAATTTACCTTCGTATTTTTTTTTCTACAATTTTCTTTATAATCAGGACTACTGGCCGTCATCACTACGGATTATCGTCAATATTTAATTGTTCTTATTTCTAAAACTATAATTTTTTGGTACTTCGAAGCATATTTTTTTTAGTATTAAATTATTTTAAAAAAATTATTTTATTCTTTCTTAAAGAAAAAAAAAGTGGGTTTGTCGGGTTCGGGGCAGGACGGGTCCTGGGACCGAATTGAAATAGGGCGGGACAGGTCTTGGGTCCTAATATTTTATAGCGGGATGGGTCCCGGGCCTGTAAAATCCGTCCCGAACCCGTCCCGTTGACATTCCTAGATATGGAGTAATAAAATGGAAGCGAGTTGGGTTTCACCTAACGACTCCGAAACCGATTTAGATGTGACTTTTTTTTTTACAATATTTTTTTTTAAAAAAAATATTTTTTAATATTGTGTTCTTTCGTGGGTTTTACCCGCAGATTTTTACTATTCAATTTTTTTTTCTAAAAATATTATATCAAACAATTTTTATTTTATTTTTATATTATATTACAAATTTATTTTACATTCGAAACATCATATCAACCTCTATTTATATCACATTAACCAACTATTCAAATTCAACATTTTACATTAAATATCCGAACTAAAAAACTAATTAGAGTTTGTTTAGATAGAAATTTATAGAGGTTTTTGAAAATTTAAAAGTTTTTAAAAAGTAAAAAATTAATATTTGATTTGAGCATGTTACAATTCTATTTAATAATATTTTGTTGTAATACATTAAATATCATCTAAAATATATTTAAATTTGATTGAAAGATTGCTAGATTAAGGGCTAATTGGTTTTGCTTTTTGTGTTTATATAACTACTATACAACATAATGAGAGGTAATAGATTCAAACCTTCGACGTTTCAGGGACTTTCCCGTCGGGCTTGGTTTGCAGGGTATTAGGTTCGATCGGAGGTTTACTCAGTGCATACTTTCGGGTAGCGGCTGCGAGTTTCCACGTCATAAAAAAAAAAAAAAAATCATATAAACAACTTAAATCAATTTTTTTAAAAAATTTGAAAATTTGATTGAATATTGTCGTTTTTAAATATTGAAACATGATGCAAATTTGTATACCCTAAAAGTATTTAAGATTTTCTAATATGAATTAGGAAAAAATTATGATGCGTTGGGATTGTTAGTAGTACGCAGGCTGTTATAAAATATTAAGTCAAATATCTTGGAAGATTAAGCCATCATATTGTTACATACAACTAATCTGATGACATTGTTTATTGTAATTGTAAAAAATTTGAATTTTCCGGAATACTATATTGCCATGGACTTAAAATTTCTGCAACAAATAATATTTTGAGAATTTCTTATTATAATGTAATGAAGAGATAGACAAATAGTACAAGAGTAGGAGGTTTGCATAGTGGGATGATTTTCGTTGAACATGACACGGATGACCTGAAAGAAGATTTAAGTATTCAATGTAAAAATATGAGTATGTTTTTCAATAACCTAGTTACAAGAACATCGGAAAGTAAATAAACGTATGAATTTGTGAAAGGTGTATTTATAAAGACAACTGAAAGGGTCAATGATCAGGTAATGAACAATAAAGTTGATTGTGAGGGATTGCGCTGTGAGAATGTCGAGTTAAATTTACACACTCAAAATTATATAATTTTTTCATTTTCTAAATCTAATTTGAAATCTTTCTTCATTTTGTAATCAACGACGATTAAGGAGTATCTTTTGAATTTGTATTACAACCAGATTGAATCTCTCACAATAATATTTCATTGCATATAAGTATAATACCATAAATATAACCATGACAACAATGTCGATGTTATGAATATAGCTACTGATAAAGCAGACTATATTCGAATCATATGAATAAAATAAAAACTATGATATATAGTCTATTTTAAAATGATATTACAAAAGTTCCATTTTAATAATCTAATAAAATATATTCATTCCGTCCCAAAAAAGATGTCTTGTTGAGAGTGGGCACGATAATTAAAGAATAATAGCATTTAATTAAGAGAAGAGACTAAAATACCGTTGCTTTTTAAATAATTTTAAAAAGAAAGTTAGAGATACTTTGGAAAATTAGGAATAATTTTGTTATAAAGTGAGGACCACAATTATTAAATAAAGAAACTAGACAAACTCTATTGGGAGGGAGAGAGGGAGTATAAACTACAACTACAATAAAACAAACAAATTTACAGGATATTAAGTTCAATTGAAAATTTATCCCTTGTGCACTTCGATAGCGTTGGTGGATTCCAGTAAAAAAAAAAATAATAAAAAAAAATATATATTTCTTAAAATATTTCATTTGGCTCACGAATTTTTATATTTTATTTTTTCATTGTTCTTATCCAGATTTCACCATCTTCAATCTGTTCTCCAATAAAAATTGCTTGGTTGAATACAATTTTAAATTTTGCCATTGTAACTGTTCTAAACAACAATCAATCACAGAAATTGACAGAAATTGGGCGAGCAGAACTGAAGTGAGGTGAAATACAAGCATTGATTAAGCCACCAGCAAGCAAACTAACTAACAGAAATCGCAGAACAAGAAGTCTAAGCAGGTGTCCGTACACTCGTAGAAACAGGAGCAACTGTGCAGCAGTGTATCCATTCAATTCCAAAACAAAACAAATCTTAATCAGAAAGAAATTATTCAAATTCAGAAATGCAAAAAGTGGAATTACTTTACCATTCGTTGATAACTTTGTCTTGCTCGTCGTCTTCCATTGCCTTCTGGTTCGTTCCCGAGCCACCAATCGTCTGCGTCTCCGGCGGATCCATTGATTGAGAATTTGCGAGATTATGAAAAATTGGAAGTGTACTATTTCAGTGGCTAAAAAATACGAGAATCATAAGCAGAAAGCGGTTATCACTTCCCACATGCTTCGCTGTTCAATCTTTCCTCATTCTTCACTATTGACGCGTGGTAAGGTAATTTATTGGGCACGCAATCTACTTTTGGGAGGAATGGGAAACGACGTCGTTTCGAAACTAACTACATAAAAATAAACAAGTTATCAGCGAAACGACGTCGTTTTCAAAATTATAAAAGGAAAAAGAAAAAATCCGTTTCGGATCGGGATTTTGAACCCGACGTGAATCGAACACGCAACCTTCTGATCTGGAGTCAGACGCGCTACCATTGCGCCACGGATCCTATTGAGATGTATTTGAAAAATAAAATATTTATTTATTTAACCCACCTTTCGAACCGAACCGCTCCCGATTATGGACCGGCGGTCCAGCATTGTTTCGTAGGAAAAAAACAAAAGAGGAATTGTATAACCTGGCCTTCTATTTTCCTCTAATTCTCATTAGTACGGATTTTTATATTATAAAAAGAAAAATAAAGAATCAAATATTAAAAAAAAAAAAAAAAGAAAAAGGGACACATGGTGCTTGGGAGATGAGATATATATTATATCTTATAAATACGAGTTTGTATGGATCTGCCACTTGAAAAGTCTATTTTGCCCCTCATTTCAAAATGACAATTTAGCCCTTAACCTACCCTTGTACTGGCTTGAAAAGACGTTTTGGAACCGTCGTCAGCAACCGCCGTCAACCGCCCAAGACGAAACGTTTTGGAACGTCTTCTGGTCGGTTACATCAACCGCCTTGCCAAACGCCTCCACCAGTTCCAGAACTCAAATAGCCCAACCGACCAATCCAGAGACCAATCGGTAGACCAAAAGACTCATTGGCCGCACCCACCAAGCGACTTGTCTATCCGCCTGCGGACCAGCTGACTTGCCTATCCGACTGCAGACCACCATCAGACCTGTCTGTCCGACCGCTAACCATCCTACCGAGGACCAGCCGACCATACCAACCGACCGAGGACCTTCCGACCTGCCTATCCGACCGCTAACCAACCGACCTGATCATCCGACCGAGGACCAACCGACCGAGGACCTTCCGACCTGAGCGCAAATTTTTCTCCTTTTCCACCCGACTTCGTGTCTAACTTCCTTTAAGATCCTGCTATCCTTATTTTTATTTTTATTATTATTATTTTTTGTGCGTAACAATTATCAAAGTTGAAATATCCTTACTATTTTTGACATTTCAAAACTCATAAAGAGATGCAGGGTAACCCTTCTTATCTCAGTCTATCCGCCTACGGACCAGCTGACTTGCCTATCCGATCGCAGACCAGCCGACCTACTTTATCCGACCGCAGACCATGAGATCTGTCTGTTCGACCGCTAACCATCCGACCAATGACCAACCGACCAAGGACCTTCCGACCTGCCTATCCCACCGCTAAACAACCGACCTGATCATCCGACCGAGGACCTTCCGACCTGCCTATCCGACCGCTAACCAACCCATCTGACCATCCGACCAACCGACCTGACCAACCGACTTAAGCACAAATTTTTCTCCTTTTTCATCCGACTTCATGTCTAATTTCCTTTAAGATCCTGCTATCCTTATTTTATTATTATTATTATTTTTTGTGCGTAACAATTATCAGAGTTAAAATATCCTTGCTATTTTTGACATTTCAAAACTCATAAAGAGATGCAGGGTCACCCTTCTTATCTCAATCTATCCTTCTGCGGACCAGCTGACTTGCCTATCCGACCGCAGACCAGCCGACCTACTTTATCCGACCGCAGATCATCAGACCTGTCTGTCCGACCGCTAACCATCCGACCGAGGACCAACTGACCGAGGACCTTCCGACCTGCCTATCCCACCGCTAACCAACCGACCAGACCAACCGACCGAGGACCTTCTGACCTGCCTATCCGACCGCTAACCAACCCACCTGACCATCCGACCGACCAACCTGACCAATCGACCTGAGCGCAAATTTTTCTCCATTTCCACTCGACTTTGTATTTAACTTCCTTTAAGATTCTGCTATCCTTATTTTTATTATTATTATTTTTATTTTTTTTTGTGCGTAACAATTATCAAAGTTGAAATATCCTTGCTATTTTTGACATTTCAAAACTCATAGAGATGCAGCGTCACCCTTCTTATCTCAATCTATCTGCCTGCGGACCAGCTAACTTGCCTATCCGACCGCAGACCAGCCGACCTACTTTATCCGACCGTAGACCATCAGACCTGTTTGTCCGACCTACTGACCATCAGACCTATCTGTCCGACCGCTAACCATCCGACAAGACCAACCGACCGAGGACGTTCCGACCTGTCTATCCCACCGCTAACCAACCGACCGAGGACCTTCCGACCTGCCTATCCGACCGCTAACCAACCGACCTGATCATCCGACCGAGGACCAACCGACCGAGGACCTTCCGACCTGAGCGCAAATTTTTCTCCTTTTCCACCCGACTTCGTGTCTAACTTCCTTTAAGATCCTGCTATCCTTATTTTTATTTTTATTATTATTATTTTTTGTGCGTAACAATTATCAAAGTTGAAATATCCTTACTATTTTTGACATTTCAAAACTCATAAAGAGATGCAGGGTAACCCTTCTTATCTCAGTCTATCCGCCTACGGACCAGCTGACTTGCCTATCCGATCGCAGACCAGCCGACCTACTTTATCCGACCGCAGACCATGAGACCTGTCTGTCCGACCGCTAACCATCCGACCGATGACCAACCGACCAAGGACCTTCCGACCTGCCTATTCCACCGCTAAACAACCGACCTGATCATCCGACCGAGGACCTTCCGACCTGCCTATCCGACCGCTAACTAACCCATCTGACCATCCGACCAACCGACCTGACCAACCGACTTAAGCACAAATTTTTCTCCTTTTTCATCCGACTTCATGTCTAATTTCCTTTAAGATCCTGCTATCCTTATTTTATTATTATTATTATTTTTTGTGCGTAACAATTATCAGAGTTAAAATATCCTTGCTATTTTTGACATTTCAAAACTCATAAAGAGATGCAGGGTCACCCTTCTTATCTCAATCTATCCTTCTGCGGACCAGCTGACTTGCCTATCCGACCGCAGACCAGCCGACCTACTTTATCCGACCGCAGATCATCAGACCTGTCTGTCCGACCGCTAACCATCCGACCGAGGACCAACTGACCGAGGACCTTCCGACCTGCCTATCCCACCGCTAACCAACCGACCAGACCAACCGACCGAGGACCTTCCGACCTGCCTATCCGACCGCTAACCAACCCACCTGACCATCCGACCGACCAACCTGACCAACCGACCTGAGCGCAAATTTTTCTCCATTTCCACCCGACTTTGTATCTAACTTCCTTTAAGATTCTGCTATCCTTATTATTATTATTATTATTATTATTATTATTATTATTATTTTTTGTGCATCCTTGCTATTTTTGACATTTCAAAACTCATAGAGATGCAGCATCACCCTTCTTATCTCAATCTATCTGCCTGCAGACCAGCTAACTTGCCTATCCGACCGCAGACCAGCCGACCTACTTTATCCGACCGTAGACCATCAGACCTGTTTGTCCGACCTACTGACCATCAGACCTGTCTGTCCGACCGCTAACCATCCGACCAGACCAACCGACCGAGGACCTTCCGACTTGTCTATCCCACCGCTAACCAACCGACCGAGGACCAACCGACTAGACCAACCGACCGAGGACCTTCCGACCTGCCTATCCGACAGCTAACCAACCCACCTGACCAACCGACCAGACCAACCGACCGAGGACCAACCGACCTGAGCGCAAATAATTCAATTGTATTTTTCTTTTACAGTTTATATTTCAAATAAATAATGTTTCACTATATTACATTATAGAATAGTCGCGCGGTATACCGCGCAAGAGCGTGTTCTAGTATATATATATTTGTAATTTCTTATGAATTATGTTCTAATCGAACGGTTGAGTAGTGGATTTGCCGGGCTGGGCACTAATGAGAGTTAGATAACAATTTTGGATTAAAATATACAAAAACTACTTATAATAAATCACGGCCAACTCAGTAATATTTTGGGTAAACTGTTTTTTAGTTTCGTAACTGGACCCTTATCATTTTAGTCCTGTAAGTGAAGCTGTCGCAAACTAGTTCTATAAGTGAAAATTTTTCGTTGTTTTAGTTCTCCGGCGCCGGAGACGCCCGCGTGGCTCGTCGGAAGCTACGTGTCCATCAGGTGTCCCGCCAAGTCAGCGACACATGGCGGACACGTGGATTTTATTTTATTTTTTCATTTTTTATAATTATTTTAATTTCTTTTTAATTTTTTTTAATTGGACTAAATAAAAATAAATTTAAAATAAATTTTTAAAAAAAATTTAAAAAATTTAAAAATAAAAATAAAAAATAAAATCCACGTGTCCGCCAGGTGTCGCTAACCTTACGGACACGTGGCCTCCGGCGAGCCATGCGGGCGTCTCCGGCGTCGGAGGACTAAAACAACAAATATTTTTCACTTATGGGACTAGTTGGCGACATACTCCATTTATGGGACTAAAATAATAAAATGGTTCAGTTACGGGACTAAAAAACAGTTTACCCTAATATTTTTTTTAAAAAAATATTTATACTTTTAGAAATGATATAGGTATGTTGCTAGAGTTTGGAAAATATATTTGGTTGGAGTTTGGTATAAAATTAATATTCGATAGAATATGATATTTTGTGAGTGAAAATAATATATTATTTTCGAGAAACGCAAAATTTAAATAGTAAAATTTGAAAAAATTTACTAAAAAAACATGTGTATGAAAGAACAAATCTTATTAATAATATAAAACTTCATATTATCTCCTTTTAGAATAATTATATTATATATATATATATTCAAATACTTAATTCAATTATAATTTTATTATTTATATTTTAATCAATTTATTATTTTTTTCTATTTATCTTACTAGTTTTTATTAATTCTTTATTATATCTATCGTAATATCCAATGTATTTTTATTTATTTTATTTATTTTATATTAAAGTATTACTCCCTTTGTTCTGTGTATAATTTGCAATATTTTTTATTTTAGTATATGCTATATATACATACACTGTAATAGTTTTAAAGTAAAAAATAATTAATTATATTTTATCTCATTAAAAATCATTCGAATTAAAAATAAATATATATTATTTGTTCCACTTAATTTGTTAATTATTTTTATTTTCGTCTGTGCCACATAATTTGTCATTTTTTTTTCGAAAATATAATTATACATTTTAATCACATTTTAAAATTTATAATTTATATTATTTTATTTTAATAAAATTATTTAATCATCTTAAAAATCTTAATTTATAATTACTTACTAATTACACAATACTTAAAAATCTATGCCTAAATTAAATAAGACAAATTAGTTGAAACAGAGATAATATTTATTATAGTCACATCACCTAATTTTTAATTTATTCTACTTAATACTACTTAATTCAAATTTTGTTTCAAAAGCCAAATATTGCATAAGAAATTGCGAAAACATAAAGAATTTGATCGGAAAAAATGGAGTATAATACTCATCCGTCCAATTTCTATTGTCCTAAAGTATATTTGCACGATTTTTTAGGTGATTGTTTTTTTTATGAATTGACAAATTTGCCCTTAATTGTATGGTACATATTAAAAGTAATAAATGAATGGAGGATAAAAATATAAAATTTGTGTTTAAAAAAGAAAATAGGACAATAGTTGTTGGACATCCCAAATAGAAAAATAAGATATTAGTTTGTGGACGGAGAGAGTATTATATTAACGTGGTGACCCCATCAGTCCATCACCTAAATTTTAAATAATGAGGGTTTGTTCGTTTGAAGAATTTTACCAAAATCCTACTATTAATCCAAAATTTTTTTCTCAAAAACATCAAATCAAATACCTATTTTTTATTTTTTATATTATACTAAAAATCAATTTTACATTCAAAATATCACATCAACACCTATTTATATTACATCATACAACTATTCAAATTCAAAAATTTTACTATTTGAATCCCAACTCAAAATCCAAACCCCCAAACAAACACACCCTAAAAGTCTTCTCGGCCGCATATGTGTTATAAAAGGTTTAACCAAAATTTGCTTAGATTTAAGATCGTTTGAATTGATTTAAAAAAATAAGTTGAAAATTTAAAGTAGAAGTAGAAACAATTCGATTTTGTGTTTGAATGAATGATTATAAAAGTATTTTTTCATAAAAAATTATTTGGATGTAACATAGTTAAAAATGCATTTAACAGTTTTTTCAGCTTAAAAAATTGTTTCAATTTTTGGATATAAGTCAATGCAGATAAGTGCAAATGCTTTTTACAGAAGCAGAAGCCAACAACTACTAAAATAAGTTAGAAGTCAAAAGCAAAAGCAGAAGCAATTTAATTTTGTGTTTGGATGAATGATTATAAAAATATCTTTTCACAAAAAATTATTTAGATATAATAGAGTTAAAAATACATTTAACAATCTTTTCGGCTTAAAAAATTGCTTCTACTTTTCGATAAAAATCAATGCAAATAAGTACAAAATGCTTTTTACAAAAGCAAGGCCAAAAACTTCTTCCAAAAGCCAATTCCAACGGGGCTTAAAAATTGTTGTTTGTGCTTTAGTGTGGGCCCATCTAGCCAAGTGGCAACAATCCAATGATCCGGTGCAGTGCACCTGGTGTCAAACGTTAGAATCCGTCAACCAACGAATTGCCCCGGTTTCACCATGGGTTTTATTTCATTAAAAAATAAAAATAAAAAATTACCTATACTTCCCTTGCGATTTCAAAATTGCATTACGTTATTTTATACTTTAAAAAATATTATAGAAAATTCCGAGACTTAATGTAAATTTTCACTTTATTATATCCCTTATATTTTCAAAAATTTTTGTATTAAACCTTTAGCGATGCAAAAAAAAATATAGATAAAAAATCGTATTCTCATCACACAAGTAAAGTTTCATAGCGAGAATTTAATGCAACTTTTATCAAAACTACATAAAAGTTATAAACAATTTTACCTTAAAAAATTGAATTTGAAACCCAACCTTTCGAATTATAGTTTCGATTTCGATTTAACGGTTTTAATTGTAATTTCAAAATTAATGATAACAGTTTAAAAATTGTAAGTATCAATTTGAATCGTCAAACTACTTTTTACACATATATTCTTAATATTAATATGTAATACAACTTAAGAGTAACAAACATAAATTTATTAATATTTTACGATATAAATATAAAGATATTTGTACAATATATTGTAAATTATAAAAATATTTTTAATATTAGATAAATAATACAATTACTAAAATAAAGAAGAATATTTTTTATAAGACTGACCAAAATAAAAAAATTAATAATTTGTTAAGTGATGAAAGAATTTTATTTTTATTTTTATTTTATTTTTTTTTGTAAATTCCATTTTCATTTAAAAATTATGTTAATTTCCATTTCAATTATACATATTTATTGTATAAAAATGATATAAAAATATTCCTCAATGAAAAAATTTACAAATTGAGAGATAATGTTAAAAATACTTGAATACAAATTTTAAATATTTTTAAATAATATATAATATACTTCTATTATACACAGTTATTTAATAATTAATTTATAATATCTAAAAATCTAAACAAAAAATTAATTTAAATGTGAGGGAGAGAGTATATTATTTAAAATATTTAAATACATATTTTAAATACTTTTAATTATATAAATCAATTTTTTTTATTTTAAAAATGCCAGCTATATCATTTACATCATCAAAGAAAAATAATAATAAAATAATATTATAAGAAATGCCAGCTATATCATTTACGTCATCAAAGAAAAATAATAATAAAATAATATTATAAGGAAAACAGTATAAACATCAGTTTCGATTCGGGCTCGACGAGTTCAAAACCGATTTGGTTACACCCAATCACCTGTTTGGGTTTTTCGCCCATACTTAGAATTTTGATTTTATTTATACGGACGAAAACAGTAAAAAAATTGTATGTTTATTGTATGAATCGATGCACCAGATGGATATGCGGAGATGTTTTGTAGTGTCGTTTTGATGCGGAAAACGCTGTTGCAGTGTTTGTGAATTTGATTTGGATTGCAGCAGTATGGCGGCGAACGGGCCGCCGTTGGGGGAGACTAGAAATGACGGTATTGATAGGCCTACGAATCCTATGGTGACGCCTTTATTGACGGATCTTTACCAGTTCACCATGGCCTATGCTTACTGGAAAGCCGGCAAGCACAACGAACACGCAGTGTAAAGTTTTTGTTCCTTACATTTCTTATTGGATTGATTGTAATTTGTATGTGGAATAAACTGTTTTGGTAATTTCAAAGAATTTAAGTTTATAAATTTTTGATGAAATGAGTTGTATCGATCTTCATTAGCCTCATTTATGGCGCAGGATTGTAATATCTCTTCAGATTAGTAATAGTAGATCATTAGTTAAGGGAACTACTAAGCAATTTTGTTAGAAAATAAAGTATGGAGGATTGAGAATCAGTCTCTTATTTGCAGCTTTATGTTTTCTTTTCAGGTTTGATTTGTATTTTAGGAGAAATCCCTTCGGAGGGGAGTACACAGTCTTTGCTGGTTTGGAGGAGTGCATTAAATTAATTGCTAACTTTAGATTTAATGAGGATGAAATTGCTTTTATAAAAGCGTCGTTGCCGCCTTCATGTGAGGTATTGGTTGGATACTTACATTCCATTGAGTTCATCTCCATGAGTGCAAGTTTCTGAGAGGAACATATGGATTATTTGTGTGGAGGTCAAGCATGAGATATGTGAGTGGTATTCGCAATGAAACCACTAGTATGAAATGAAAAATAACATTGGAACTCATTTTTCCTATCACAATTCTACTTGCATTAAATTGGACCTCTTTGTATTTGATCGTAAGCGTGCTATTTTTGTATCCGGAGAAATGTTGATTAGGAATCTTGCATTAAAGTTATCATGTGTTTACATGACATACTGAAGTTCAGATATGTTGGCTAATGAATGTCTGGCTCTAGGATGGCTTCTTTGATTATCTTCGAGGATTGGACTGTAAGGATATGGAGATACATGCGATTTCTGAGGGATTTGTTGTATTTCCCAAGATACCTATGATGAGGATTGAGGGGCCAGTAGCTGTAAGTACCTCTTGGAGGCACATTTTGGATCTGTATTATTTACCCAGAATATATATATATATTGTCTATCTTATTAGTAATATTACTCATTCCTGATAACTATAATGATAATTTTTCTGTTAAGGTGGTTCAACTCCTCGAAACCCCTCTTGTCAATCTCATAAATTATGCGTCCTTAGTAGCGACAAATGCTGCACGCCATCGTTTTGTTGCTGGGAAGTCTAAGCTTCTTCTTGAATTTGGATTGAGGAGGGCACAAGTATTGAGTTATTCATTTTGTTCTCTGCTGATTTCTCAGTTTATAAGAGTATAATAAATGAATGTATGTCTTGTGCTGTTGCAGGGCCCTGATGGGGGTATAGGAGCATCAAAGTATTGCTATATGGGCGGATTTGATGCCACAAGGTGAGTTTTTGGTGAAATCAAAATGCCGTTTCTATTCATAGTTGATAGATTCTGATATTTGATGGTCCATTTCCTTATATCAATATCCGTTGTGATGAATAACACCTATAACATGAGCTCTATAGAAAATAACTAACTGGAAGAAAAACTGCGAAACATACCTCTTCCACATTGAAACTATATTGGTCTACAATTTCTTCTTTTCTTCACTTGGCATTTAGCTGCCTGTTAATTCTGAAAATTCTAGAGTAAGGTCATTTATATTTGCTTTTGGTTTTGACAGCAACGTGGCTGCTGGAAAATTATTTGGAATACCACTTCGGGGAACACATTCTCATGCGTTTGTCAGCTCATTTATGGTATATACACTCAATGTGCATTCCAAGTTTGGTTTCCCAGAAGCTAGCTTTTCATTTTATCACGTATTTTTTAATTTTCTCCCTTGTTCTGCATTTTGCAAGATGCTATATTTTTAGAGACATTTGTTATGAGCAGAATATGGTCCCTTTCTATTGGTTATGATTATGTACTTCCATTCCTGTTATCATCATTTGGAAATATATATACATATAGGTGCGTGTCTAACTGTCTATATATGTCTTTATATTTGTAGTATTTAGATACCATTATGGAGAAGATTAGTTTTGCATGCGGACTTCCATGCACCTTTCCTATTTACTTAGTAGCAATATCGATGGAAAAATATTCTTTCTTTTTGTATGGTTATTTATTTCTTTTGGCAAAGTATTTGCATTTTTATTCTCTAGAATCTGGGAATGGTAAGAATGGGTTTCATAACTGATTGGCTTTGATTGAGCAGAGTTTATTGTGTCTATTTTGCATTGCTGTTCTATTCAATTTTCTCTAACCTGTCATTTCTCTGATATATATACATGATCTGAGTAAGTCAAATTATTCTCCAGAGCCCTGATGAGATTACTGAGAAGTCACTTCTGAGCAAGGATAGGTCAAAAATTTGCTCCGACTTTGTTAGTTTGGTGCAGACATGGTTAAGGGATTTAAAGGTTTGGTAGATATTCTCTTTACTTTCTGAGTGATGAATTATAAAATTTTAATCTATTCATGATGCAATAGGTAATGAGTTTGAGTTCATGGCTATAATTTCATGCAAATATTTTCGTTGTTTCGTGATAATGCATGATTTTAGTGTATTTTCTGCTATAGTTGCTTTATGTAAGGAGCATGCTCATCTTGTGTAAAGGCACAAGGCTTAACCAAATAAGACTCCAACAATGATATTAATTATGTTTGTGCAATATGAGCACAATGGGATGAATGCTATGATACATAAAAGTCCTGGGAATTTTCAAAATCATTTATGATAGCGAAAAGTAGTGCATGGTTGTCAAGTTGGGTTTTCTGTAGGCTGCTAGTTAGATTTATATCCATGATTTGCAAGATTCACAACCAATGCTGTGCAATATCCAGTGTTGTACCTTTCTGTTCTTTCTTTCTTTTTCTTTTTAATGGTTTTCATTCATGTTGTATTAGTGCATTAGTTTCAGCTATGTCTCAACAGTTCTTGAAAGTTTCTTAATGTCGTTGAATACATGGAGCATCAAGTCTTTAGAAGCTTTTTTGAATTATGCATAAACATGCTTGTATTTTATACATTAAGGTGTTTGTTTGCATTAATGCTCACTTATTTAATTTTTGCACTTGTTCAGGGGTCTCGTTCATTAGGTGATCACTTTGGTGAAACAAACCAAAGTGAATTGGCAGCTTTTGTCTCATATGCCTTGGCTTTCCCAAACAATTTTTTGGCCCTTGTCGATACTTATGATGTAAGTTAGCATTTAATTATGTATTTAGCCATTGTATGTTTGTTTCAACTTGATTCTTATGTTTAATAAGCATGAATAGCATAAAACCTGTTATATTTAGTTGGAGCAACGGTTCCTGGTGTTTTTCATCTTGCTGATATAAGAAATAATTCATGAGCTTGCTTCTGTAATCGTTGCAAAGACCACATAACTCGCACAAACTAATAAATAGATTATCATATTAATTGCACATGTTTTTTGAACAAATCAACTAAAATTCATCACTATTCATATGAAAAACACAAATGTTTCCAGAAATCAGAAATTGTTGTATGCCAAATTCCATGCTGTTATATCAGAAGACTTTATCGGTTGCAGCATGCATTGTTTGTTCTAGCATTTAATGCATATTGTAATTTGTAACAAATCTAGTGTGCTCAAATACATTGTAGTCCGTATATCTTGTCATGTTCCACTTTATGATAAAAGTTTCACTTTATTGAAGTGGATCGATTTCCATTGCCTTTTGATTTCTGTTTTTCTTTCCATTGACTCAGGTTCTATGCTTTATTTGAACAGGTTATGAGAAGCGGTGTTCCTAATTTTTGTGCAGTTGCTCTAGCTCTAAATGAATTGGGGTTTGTCTAGAAAGCTTATTCTTGCATTGTTAATGTTTGTCTTTTTGTTATATGTTTGATCTGTCGGCTATGTATGCAGTAGTATATACTTATGCAAGTTCTGTACCCCCTAATCAATTTGCTTTAGCCTTGTTCAAGATGTCAATTACTATCTTTTCGTGCTATGTAAGTAACTTTTCAAAATAAATGCTTTTGTTACATTTCTTATATTTATGCTTTTCTCGGTCAACTATATATGATTGGTTTTTTTCGATTTTGGTTCACCTCAACTATCAGCCCACAAGTCAGAAAGAAAATACAACAATGTTTACAACAAAACCAAAATTTCTTCCTACATATAGCTTGTATTTATCTCTATTATAATACCTTGTTTTTTAATGCCCTTTTGCAGTTATAAAGCAACTGGTATTAGATTGGATTCAGGTGATCTTGCGTACTTGTCATGTCAGACTCGAAAGTTTTTCCAGGATATCGAAAAGGAGTTTGAAATACCGAACTTCGGAAAAACAAGCATCACAGCAAGTAATGACCTCAATGAAGAAACTTTGGATGCTTTAAATAAACAGGTAAGTGCATTAATCAGCTGTTTTCTATACATCATCAATCTTAAATGTTAGTATGGCATTAATTTCTCTGAACTTTTTTATTCATCTTATTGTTGTCGTTGTAGGCTATAGTCTTTGTTTTACCTATTTTTAATTTTTTTTTTATTACAGTTCATGTGATTTTTGTTGGCATACTAGAAGCACAAACCACAAACCAGATGAAAATCCTTTGGAACACTTCTCTCTCTCTCTCTCTGGTGAGAGGCTTCTGAAATCCAAAGTGCCATTCTAAAAATTTTCACCTCAACTTACTATGAACATATCCACATGAACAACTTTATATATATGTATATGTATAAGATTTTGTGTTTTAGAAGGCCTGGAGATTAAAGGAGAACAAGTTCTTTTCTTTGATGCCTGATGGGGTTTACTATCCTTCATTTAACACAATTATCTTATATTCATCCTATGAAGGATAGTAAACACTAAACACACCCTAAGTGTCCGAAATAGTCTGGACTTCAATAATTTCATCCGGAGCAGCTGTTTCTTGTCATATTCTCTGAAACACTTAATTTGGCAATCAGAACCTAAAAGAAAGAATAATGTTTTGATCACTACTGCATTTCATGTTGTAAAGTTGCAGTTATATTGTAAACCTTCTTTTGTCAGGGTCACGAGGTTGATGCATTTGGAATTGGAACTCATTTGGTTACATGCTATGCCCAACCTGCATTGGGTGTTGTTTTCAAATTAGTTGAAATAAATAATCAGCCTCGCATTAAACTTTCTGAAGATGTATCAAAGGTTTGATTAACCATCGTCATAGTACTTACAATTTTATTATGTGCTTTTTTACATATCCTTTTCTCTTAGGTATCCATTCCATGCAAGAAAAGATGCTACAGATTATATGGGAAGGAAAGTTACCCTCTCGTGGACCTTATGACAGGGGAAAATGAACCACCTCCGAAGGTATTTTTAAAATTTTTATACTTTCTTAATCCTATGTTTTCTTTTTCTATAATCTATCTTTTAGCATGTAGCCCATTAGTGTGATGATTTATTTCGTAACTTCTTAAAATCTGAAGACTTTGGTAATATTGATTGGTTCCTTTTACAGAAGATATGGTAAGCATGTAAACAGTTCGGAATGTCTAGAATCTTGTTATAAATTTCGTGAAGGAAATTTCTAAGGCAGTCTGCTGCAATGCTTCATTTAGCTTTATTTAATTATATATTTATAATAGTGAGCCCCATATGCATTTTATAGGATTGTTTTGTACTGCCCTGGTGAAATCTACTTGTTTTGCATGTGTAGGTAGGTGAGCGAATCTTGTGTCGTCATCCTTTTAATGAATCCAAAAGAGCATTTGTGATACCACAGCGTGTTGAGGAGCTTATGAAATGCTATTGGCCCGGAAAATCAGGTAGAGATTCTGATCTTTTCATTGTGTAGCAAGAAACCTTGTTACCGTAAAATGACATCCATTGTAGATGTTGAGCAGCTTTCGATACCCCTAAATTATTCAAAATTGCTTTTTTCTTTGTCGTTTTATTCTCCTCTTTATTCTCAGGAAAACCAAGAGAAGAGCTACCATCCCTCGAACTGATTAGAGAACGGTGTATCGATCAACTGGATCAGATGCGACCTGACCACATGAGAAGATTGAATCCAACACCATACAAGGTAAGCTAAATATCTTTTGACCTACAACCCCTCCAAAAGCACCTTCTATATTCCTTAGTCATCATCACACCTTTATACATTATCCTCTGGGCAGGTTAGTGTAAGTGCGAAATTGTACGACTTCATTCATTTCTTGTGGCTCAATGAAGCGCCTGTGGGAGAGTTGCTATGAAAATTATGTGATGCGCCATATATGGAAGCCAAGAACACTCCGATTACCTTATTAAACCCCTTACATGTTTATACTTACATCCGAATCACATAGCCATTGTTTTCTTGCTCCGGGTTGTTCAATAATTGCTCTATACCGATCTGGCTACTTTCATCTTAACATTGAAAGTGAATATTTGCTCTTCACAAATTGTTGGCTCTTTTATTAACCTTCTTTTAATGTACGGTTGAGAATCTCGGGCGGAAGTTTGGTTAATTACTTAAGGTTTGAGTACCGATGAAATGCGAAAGGTACCTCCTTGAAGATTTTTACACTGGTATTCCATCCTTTGTTCTCGATAGGATTTCTATCGGTGTTTGTGTTCTGATCAGGTGGGGTAATGAAAATTTACTGACAATCGATTTCTTGCAGCTCTCCCGGTGTAGAAGCAGCATCCTTTTGCAAAGCTGAATGGAAAGCCGTGTTCATCTATGCAATTTGAGTACTTCTCTGGTTAGTTCTTTTCTTTACTTTTTGCTGCATATTTCATCTCTTTTATAGTTTTATGCCATTAGAAATGTTCATTTGTATGTATGTGTACGTGCACGAATCCTCTTCTCTTTAACCACACCAATGGCGTGATTTATGTGCAAATATACATGGACTAAGAATAAGCTTCATTTAGACGTAAGTTTTTTAAAATCGTTTTAGAAATGGTAAATCAGAAATGCCTTCTTCAGTCCTATTTAATAAAACAATAATATTTATATTCATTCAAAACACTCAATTTATTCGCAATTAATTTATATTAATCATGAATAAAATTTTATATATTTTTATTTATTTATATTATATAATTTTTTTTAAAAAAAAATATACATATGGTATATATTTTAATAAAATATAATTATTAAAATAATTTAATATATATTTTTAATCTTATATATATTACATCATAAATTAAATATTAATTAAATAAATCACTTTTAATTCAACTTTCAACTCATTAATTCGTTGTACACTCAGATTTTATTTCCATTTTATTGCACCGTATATTTTTTCAGGCCGGGATCTAAAAATAAAAGAGCATGAAGTATTATAATGTCTATATAATGCATAGATATTTTATAAATGGAAAATTATAACGTATGGTAGATCATTATCAAAAAATTTCTACATCCAAGTCCATTATCATAATGGCGAAATCAAACTTCATACTCTGTAGTGCATATAGACAAATTAAATCTTTTCTTGCTCTTAAATCAAAATCTTCATTAACATAGGAAATACATAAAAACAATCCAATGTAGATCTAATTATAACTAGCTTCTTAAACAAAAAAAAAAAAAAAAAAAAAAAAAAAAAAAAAAAATTATAACTAAGTTTGTCCCAAACAGTCGATCAAACATAAATAATCCATTTCCTGAATGGGCATTGAGCACCTCTTGTCGGAGTCCAATTTCCGCATCCGAAAAATTGTTTTCCTTGCTGTGACCCGTGTCTCATAATCAATCCTTTGATGCTTTTTACTCGACAGTAGCACAAAGGCGCGGCGGTATCATTTGGCTCGTAGGGTAGCATGCCGGTGATTGAAAACTCGTATCCTTTGTTAATGATCAATGATAATAGCCGTGCGGTGTTTTTCGCGTCGTCTAGTCCACAATGCCAACGGCCTTCCCATGTTAGGCCGGCTTTCTCGACGGCCGTCTTTAAGTTGCACTTTTCTCCACCAAAGATGTCGTGAAAGGGAATTTGCAAATTGATCCATCTATATAAACAAAGTTGTCGAAAAATTACGAGGGTTATTACTCAGGATTTTACTATTTTTAATTTTTCCATTAAAAAATATCATATTAAACATCTATTCTTTATTTTCTATATTATATTAAAAATCAATTTTACGTTCAAAATATCAAATTAATATCTATTTATATCAGAATAATAAACAAAATAGATCAAGAATTTAGAGATTATAGAAACATACCTATTGAAATATAATGGCTTGTAAATGTTTTTGAATTTGCATTCAGATTCAAGCATTATTTCGCAATCACAATCGGACCATGTCACGATGGCGAAGTTGGTGTTCCTTATTCCCATAGTTTTGAGCCATTCGTCGTGTTGGAATATAGCTTCGGTCAAAGTGACTCCATAATCGACCTAAAAAAAAGTCAACAAACATTAATGAGATCAAAGTGAATAGTACAGTAAATAGAGTTTGGATCTATTAGAACCTCAGTTTGTTCTATTCCGGTGAGCTCCTTGCAAAAATCAGTGAGGATCGGGTTGTAGGTTGGACGGACATATCTCTGAAACCATCCCTGTGTTTGCCCAGTGACGCCGCTGACAACTATGGATGGGAACTCAATTATCTCTTGGGGATAAATGATTTTTCCCTTATCACAAGTTGCCTCGAAATCAATTACAATGAAGTATTGAAATTCTTGCAGGTATTGTTGGTAGGGATGAGTATTTTGAAGAATTTCCATTTGTAGTTACGGTGGAATAAACATGTAGAGATATTGAGGTCTTGAAACTTCGAAAAATAGTAAAAACTTATTGTATCTGTATATAAAAAAAAATATAAAATTAATATTAACAAAAGCAAAAACAAAAAGTTTATTATTTTTTCTTGAACACATTACAATATATATCTTCTTAGGGCATATCCTTCGTTGGTATACATTTACTATTATTATTATTATTATTATTATTATTTTCTACGATTTTTGTTGTTTTCCCGAGTGTCTAGGGGATTCAATAATTCCGGTACTGCTAACTATTTATTTGATTGTCTGACATAGATTTAATAATTTATTTTTTATTATTTTTAAAGCATGCAAATATTTCAAAATACTTTAAGAATATGCACAGACGCAGACACATACTCAAATTTTTATTATTTTCAAATTTTTTAAAATTTTTAAAATACTTTCAAAATATAAATAAAAGCATGCTCATTTTCGTAAAAGATGACCGGGTGGTGTGGGGATTTGACGTGTGACTGTGAGGTCATGGATTCAAATCCACGAAGGACTAGAAAGTCTAGTTGAGGAATACCTAAGGTCACCGAAATATCTCAACAAAGGAAGAGGAAATCTCTAACTCCATCTAATTAAAAAAAAAAAAGGAAGAGAAAGTCTCTAACTCTATCTAATTAAAAAAAAAAGAAGAGGATGTTTAGTTGAGAATCTCTAACTCTATCTAATTAAAAAAAATGAAGAGAAAATCTCTAACTCTATCTAATTAAAAAGGAAGAGGAAGTCTAGTTGAAGGATACCTCTTTTCAACTTTAGTAGACAGAGATAAGAATAAGAAGTCTAAATATCTCAACAAAGAAAGAAGAAGTCTCTAACTCTATCTAATTAAAAAGAAAGATGAAGTCTAGTTGAAGAATGCCTCTTTTCAGCTTGGTAGACAGAGAGACAATAAGATAGCCTATTGAAAAAATAGAGAAGAATATTAAAATGAGAGTACGTAAGGTTTAAAGTTCAAAGGTTTTCACTATATATAAACTTTTCATTCTATGTAACAAACTTTTTGGATTTTTTTCTAGATATCTAATCATATCTAATATACGTCATATCTATATTAATTTATATTTATTAATTATAATATATGATTATTTATTAAAATAAAGTATATTTTAACGTATATTTTTTTGTATGTTTTTAGTACACATAACTATAATTATAGTCATAACTAAGTCGGAGTTTGGGACAACTGCCTCGCAATGAGCTTTTTTAATTTTTTTATTTAATAATATATATATATATAATTATATATTAATATGTCTCTCCAAAACTCCAACACCAAGTATTACCTTATTTTGCCTCTTATTTTTTTCTTTTTTTTCATCATTCGTTCCCATTATTTATTATTATTATTATTATTATTATTATTATTATTATTATTATTATTATTATTTTTCACGTTGGTGTTGTTGTGACTAGAGTAATAGAAGAAAATGACATAGATCGTTGGAAATGAATCGCCATTTTGCCTCTCAAAAGTTTAGGGCCCCGTTCAGGTCATTGACAATAGTATTTATAATAATAATAATAATAATAATCACAATGACATATAAAATATTTGGTTTTTTATCCATTCCAGATTAAAAGAGTTTTCTATTATTAAAAAATAATAATATTTTATTATTTTCAAGTGTATAAAATTTTTTTATATTTGAGTCATTTGATTTTATTATAAAATAGTTGTATATGTAATTGTATTGCTGTAAATTTATATTCGGTATTGAATTATTGGAACAAATTTCATAAACAAAAATTCGATAAAAGAATTAACGGAAGCAAATTCGAAAAAAAAAAAAAAAATCCAAATTAAACTAATAATAAACCAACACCGATATGAAATTAAACAAAGTCATAATCTGAAATATTTGGGAGATTAATAAAACGCAAACAAACAGCGCCTCAATCGAAATGAGAATTGAATTGAAGTATTCCCTTCCTGTTCGTGACTTGATTTGCACGCCTCAGACATTTCACAAAGCAATTTTACCGGCGACGATTTCTCCGGTCATCTTCTTCGGCAGTCCTAATCGCTTCGATTTTCTCCAATCTTGACGATCTTCTTCATTCTTCTTTCTCCCTCAAAGGGACCGCGGTTTTCGGCTCAGAGCGATTGATCTGAGATAACCACGCATTAAGGTTGGAAGTTGGCTCGTCACTCCAAGCCTCGACACCCACCGGAATCGACTATTGGAAAGTACTCAATATCATTACCGGAATACTCTCGAAACTCACCGGAATTCCATCGGAACACTTACCGATTCATCCCTCTCTCTCTTGGTCTCTCCTATTCGGTTTCTACTTCTCGAGAGCACTTAACTCTCAATTTCACTTTCTATATCTAACTAAAATTTAACTTTAAAAAAATTGTACTCTCCAAATTATTATAAAATTTCATAAATTTTCTATATTTTTTATAATTTAATATATCAATTATAATTTAAAATTTTAATATACTCATAACATAAAATAATTTATATTTTAAAATTTTAATTTAAATGTAGTATATAGATTAATTATTTTATATTATATTTATTATTATTATTATAATTATAAAGAAATACTAATTTAAATTGATCAGTATTTACGTTTTGAAATTAAAAAAAAAAACCAAATAGTACCTTATAATTTTATTATTTTTTTTTTAAAAGAAAAATATATATATATTTTTTGACAATCAATTCAACGGGACCTAAAAATAAAAGAGCATGAAGTATTATAATGTGTATCTTCTTCATCGATTTTATTCTCCTACTTATTGGGTTTATCAGTCTTAAATAGGTCGATGACTACGACTGTTTGGCATAAATATTTTATAAATAGAAAAATATAGCATACGGTAGATCATTAACAAAAAATTTCTACATTCAAGTCCAAATGGCAAAATCAAACATCATACTTTGTAGTGTATATAGACAAATTAAATCTTGTCTTGTTCCTAAATCAAAATCTTCATTAATATAAGAAATATATAAAAACAATCCAATGTAGATCTAATTATAACTAATTTCTTAAACAAAAAGAAAAAAAAATATAACTAAGTTTGTCCCAAACAGTCGATCAAACATTGATAATCCATTTCCTGAATGGACATTGAGCACCTCTTGTCGGAGTCCAATTTCCGCATCCGAAGAATTGTTTTTCTTGCTGTGACCCGGGTCTCCTAATCAATCCTTTGATGCTTTTTACTTGACAATAGCACAAAGGCGCGGCGGTATCATTTGGCTCGTAGGGTAGCATGCCGGTGATTGAAAACTCGTATCCTTTGTTAATGATCAATGATAATAGCCGTGCAGTGTTTTTCGCATCGTCTAGTCCACAATGCCAACGGCCTTCCCATGTTAGGCCGGCTTTCTCGACAGCCGTCTTTAAGTTGCACTTTTCTCCACCAAAGATGTCGTGAAAGGGAACTTGCAAATTGATCCATCTACATGAACAAAGTTGTCGAAAAATTACGATGGTTATTACTCAAGATTTTACTATCTTTAATTTTTCCATTAAAAAATATCATATTAAACATCTATTCTTTATTTTCTATATTATATTAAAAATCAATTTTAAGTTTAAAATATCAAATCAATATCTATTTATATCAAAATAATAAACAAAATAGATCAAGAATTTAGAGATTATATAGTACTAGTTGGGAGGATAAAGCATACCTATTGAAATATAATGGCTTGTAAATGTTTTTGAATTTGCATTCGGATTCAAGCATTATTTGGCAATCACAATTGGACCATGTCACGATGGCGAAGTTGGTGTTCCTTATTCCCATAGTTTTGAGCCATTCGTCGTGTTGGAATATAGCTTCGGTCAAAGTGACTCCATAATCGACCTAAAAAAAATCAACAAACATTAATGAGATCAAAGTGAATAGTACAGTAAATAGAGTTTGGATCTATTAGAACCTCAGTTTGTTCTATTCCAGTGAGCTCTTTGCAAAAATCAGTGAGGATCGGGTTGTAAGTTGGACGGACATATCTCTGAAACCATCCTTGTGGTTGTCCAGTGACGCCGCTGACAACTACGGATGGGAATTCAATTATCTCTTGGGGATAAATGATCTTTCCCTTATCGCAAGTGGCCTCGAAATCAATTACAATGAAGTATTGGAATTCTTGCAGGTATTGTTGGTAGGGATGAGTATTTTGAAGAATTTCCATTTGTAATTATGATGGAAAGAATGTAGTAGAAACTTATTGTATCTGTATATCAAAAGAATATAAAACTATTATTAACAAAAACGAAAAGTTTAGGGTTTGTTTTTTTACACTTTTTCAAAAAACACAATTTTTTCAAAGAAATTAAAATAATAAGCATATTTATTATTTTTATATTATTTATACAATTTTTTATACTTCACAAATAAATAACAAACATACTCCTATTATTTTTTTCCTTAAGGGCATTAAAATATTTATATATATTTTCTGATGCATATCCTTTGTTGGTATACAATTAATTATTATTATTTACGATTTTTATTTTTTTCAAAGTGTCCCTACGATTCAATTATTCCAGCATATTGCTAAACTACTTATATATATTGACGACTTGACCTATAAATTAAATAATTTATTTTTTATTATTTTTAAATCAAACAAATATTTCAAAATATTTTAAAGAATATACTCAAATTTTTACTATTTTTGAATTTTTTAAAACTTTTAAAATACTTTCAAAATATAACTAAAAGCATTCTAAAATTCTTTTATTATTTAAAAGATAAATAAATTTTATTATTTTTAAAAGGTTTTTTTCCTGGAAAATTTTTCAGATTTTTTTTACTATTACCATTTTTTTTTTACTATTACCATTTTTTTTTTACATAAAATATATCATATTAAATTATTCTTTAAAGTCAAAATCAAAATAAAAATCCAAATATAAACTTTAAATGGACTGACATGAAATATAATAGGTTTGTTTATGTTTTTGAATAGCATAATTTTCTATAAATATTATTAAAAAAATATAAAATTACACACAATTTATTTATTTATGTATAAACGAGAGTCAACCAACATGCTCTCTCGCGGGCAAGGGATAGACAACATAAAACAAGATTCGATAGACTCAAATCTAAATAATCTAATATTTTCTCCGTTCTAAAACAATAGTTTAATTTTACTATTTTCGTCCGTCCCAAAACAATAGTCTTATTTCCATTTTTGGTAACTAACTTTTCACCTTTTTACAAAATTATCTACACTTTTTCACAATAATTACATAAAGCATAGATATCACTTTTACACCCACTATCAATATAATACTCCCTCCGTCGCAAACAAGGTGCAACATTTGCTTTTGACACGAGTTTGTAGGTGGGTAGTATTAAGTAGAATGATTTAGAAATTAGGTGATGTGATGGAGAGATAAATGTATATTTTATTATTTTATTTGGATGACGTGAGGGGATAAAGTGTGAGGTACATATTAAGTATAATTAATTATTTCTTATTTTTAGAAATGTTGCAGGGTGTTTGGGACATACCAAAAGGAAAATGTTGCAGGTTGTTTGGGACGAAAGAGTACTATTGTTTCTTAATTCTCGTGCCCATCCAAAATGTTCCTATTGTTTTGGGACATACGGAGTATATAAATAAAACTAAATCCAAATATTAATCTAATAAATGTAAAATTGAATATCTAAAATATCCCAAGAAATGAAAAGAAAATCTAAATAATCTAGTATATAAATAAAACTAAATCCAAATATAATCTACCTCTTTTCGCAGACCGAAATACGATCAATAGTGCTCGGCAGAACCGCCAACCAGAAGCTTGATAAATAGAGAGACAATAAGATAGCTAATAGAGAAAATATAAGAGAATCTTGAGATGAAAGTATATAAGTTTGTGTGTATGGTTTAGAGTTGAAAGGTTATGACTATTTATAAACTTTCCATTTTATGTAACAAACTTTTTTAATTTCTCTAGATATAATATAATCATAGTTAATAGGATATTATATCAAAAATCATATCTAAACCTTATTTATTTAATATGAATAATTTTTTTGGAAAAGTTTGCAATATTTTTTAAATTTATATTTATTAGTTATAAAATATATGATTTTATTGACTATGGTATTTATAATAATAATAATAATAATAATAATAATAATAATAATAATATTAATATTGACATAAAAAAATATCTGCGTTTTATTCATTTTAAAATAAAGTATATATATTTTTTAATAATTACATTATTTATTAAACATTAAACATATTTTTATTATTTAACTAATATCATATAATTAATACTATTTCTCTCTGCTCACAAGGTATCATATTTTGTTTAGGTTATTGAAAAACAAAATAATTATTTAAAAGATATTTTAATTTTATTATTATTTTATCATAAAAAGTAAAACAAAAATTACTTTTACATTATTTTTATATCCAATATGATTAAAGTACTAATATTATTTTTTAAACTTCGCGTTTATATCTATATATTCTTTTTTTCTATAGTTTCAACAAATTTTATTTATAATGTAAAATGATTGAAAATTAATGCCTTACTCCCTCTGCCTCAATAACGGAAATTTGTAGTTTGATATTTTTATTACGAATAATTATATGTGTAATAGTATTTTTATAATTTATATATTGAATTATTAAATTATTTAAACAAACTTCATATACAAAAATACGATAAAAAATTAGCGGCTACAAATTCAAATAAATCTAATAATAAACCAATACCGATGTGAAATTAAACAATGGCAGAATCTGGAATATTTGGGAGATTAATAAAACGCAAACAAACAGCGCCTCAATCGAAATGAGAATTGAATTGAAATTTTCCCTTCCTGTTCGTGACTTGATTTGCACGTCCAGACATTTCACAAAGCAATTTTACCGACGACGATTTCTTCACCGACAGACACCTCCGGCGGACAGCTCCTCCTCCGGCGACGACGCGGCTGCTTCCTCCTGTGGACATCGTCGAACACTGACGGCGGGGCTGGGCAGCGGCAGGGATCATGACTCCGAACAGCTCAGCTCCGGTCATCTTCTTTGGCAGTCCCGAACGCTTCGATTTTCCGACGATCTTCTTCCTTCTTCTTTCTCCAGCGAAGGGGCAGCGTTTTTCGGGGCACAGCAAATAGGCTGAGGTAACAACGCAATCAAGGTTGGAAGTTGGAAGTCAGCTCAAGCCTCGACACTCATCGGAATCGGCCGTTAAAAGGGCTCGATATCCTCACCAGAATACACTCGAAACTTTGTATTCACTACAAAAAAAATAGTATATTTATAACGGAATTCTGTTCATAAAGTGTACGTCTAACATAATTTTATTCCTAATTTGGTCTCTAATGTCATTAGTGACGGAAAAAATAGATTTAGGGATGAAAAAACCTCGTTACAAAAATAATATTCTTGTAGTGATATTACATAATTTGTTCGGTTTGTATTTTTTGTAACACAATTTTTTATGAAAAAATAATTTGAATTGGGATTCAGGAAGTATTCCGATTTCGAGTGTGAGGGAGAGGGAGAGAAGCCGAGAGAATTTCCGAGTGGTTTTCCGGTGAGTGAGAACCCCTTTCCTTTCCGATAGCCGATTTTGGTTGGGTAAGAGCTGACCTCCACCTTGCGGGATTGGTTACCATAGGCCATATCGCGCATCTGGTCTGAGCTGAAACATATCGTCCCTTTGCCGGAGAATTGAAGATTCAAATCGGTATGAGTCGGAGTTTTCTGATGTCGCTGGAGTTGTTTCTGTTCGTGTTTGGAGTAAACGATATTGCCGGTTCGCCAGAAGAGAGAAAGCAACCACTGCTGTTCGTTGGGAGAAGCTGCCGCTGCTGGCATTGTTGAGCCGTCGTCGTCCGATAACTGTATGTCAGAACTTATTAGGAATTAAACTCTAAGTCCATGATCTACCTTTATTCCATTAGCGCTATCGAATTCGGATCTGCAAACAATGGAGGATTTTGTGTTCTTCGAGCCCTCTTGAAAAAATCGCTAAGAGTTTTGCCGTTACTACCACGATAAGATACAAAGAGTAATGGATGTTGCGTCTACAATGATCACATCCGTGATTTATATCCCTTGTTATTAATTGATATCACAGATCACTTACTAAATATATTTAAATCCAATAAAATTAATAAATCACTTAACATAGGCTTAACCTGACTAATAACTTAATAATTACATTTAACTCACAATTGGATTTTTAATTGTCCACCGGTGAAGCCATCGTCAATCTCCTTGTCCGATTGGGAATCATGTGGTTTGGACATCAATAGATCTCGACGAATAGAGAAGTAATTGAATTCCTGTCATGCTCGCTTGATTTCAATTATCATTTTGGTTCTCCCTTTGTGCGTTGATTGTTCAATTTCAGAATTTCGATGATGCCTTTGTTTTTAATTGTGTTAATTTCATTTCATTTCGATTTGGGTTTATTTTGAATTCGATTTCGTTAATTAATTAGATTGTATATTTTTTATACGACGTATCATTCGATAAATCCAAAGATCTGGGAATAAATTGACAACATTTAAATTGGAAGACTGTGTTCATCTATGCAATTTGAGTAATTCTCAATAAGTTCTTTACTTTTGCTGCATATTTAGTCTCTTTTATAGTTTTATGCCATTACAAAAGTTCATATGTATGCATGTGTACTAAACTACACCATTGGCGTGATTTATGTGCAAATATACATGGACCAAGAATAAGCTTCATTTAGATATAACTTTTTGAAAATTTTTTAGAAAATGGTAAATCAGAAATGGCTTCTTCCTTCTTATTTAATAAATAAAATATATTTATATTCGTTCAAAACACACAATTTATTTGCAATTAATTTATATTAATCATGATATTATATAACTTTTTTAAAAAAATAATATACATATTGTATATATTTTATTAAAATATAATTATTAAAATAATTAAATATATATTTTTAATCTTATATATATTACATCATAAATTAAATATTAATTAAATAAATCACTTTCAATTCAACTTTCAACTTATTAATTCGTCGTACACTCAAATTTTATTTCTATTTTATTGCACCGTATATTTTTTCGGGTCGGGATCTAAAAATAAAAGAGCATGAAGTATTATAATGTTTATATAATGCATAGATATTTTATAAATGGAAAACTATAATGTATGGTAGATCATTATCAAAAAATTTCTACATCCAAGTCCATTATCATAATGGCAAAATCAAACATCATACTCTGTAGTGCATATAGACAAATTAAATCTTTTCTTGCTCTTAAATCAAAATCTTCATTAACATAGGAAATACATAAAAACAATCCAATGGAGATCTAATTATAACTAGCTTCTTAAACAAAAAAAAAAAAAAATTATAACTAAGTTTGTCCCAAACAGTCGATCAAACATAAATAATCCATTTCCTGAATGGGCATTGAGCACCTCTTGTCGGAGTCCAATTTCCGCATCCGAAGAATTGTTTTCCTTGCTGTGACCCGGGTCTCATAATCAATCATTTGATGCTTTTTACTCGACAGTAGCACAAAGGCGCGGCGGTATCATTTGGCTCGTAGGGTAGCATGCCGGTGATTGAAAACTCGTATCCTTTGTTAATGATCAATGATAATAGCCGTGCGGTGTTTTTCGCGTCGTCTAGTCCACAATGCCAACGGCCTTCCCATGTTAGGCCGGCTTTCTCGACAGCCGTCTTTAAGTTGCACTTTTCTCCACCAAAGATGTCGTGAAAGGGAACTTGCAAATTGATCCATCTATATGAACAAAGTTGTCGAAAAATTACGAGGGTTATTACTCAGGATTTTACTATTTTTAATTTTTCTATTAAAAAATATCATATTAAACATCTATTCTTTATTTTCTATATTATATTAAAAATCAATTTTACATTCAAAATATCAAATTAATATCTATTTATATCAGAGTAATAAACAAAATAGATCAAGAATTTAGAGATTATAGAAGCATACCTATTGAAATATAATGGCTTGTAAATGTTTTTGAATTTGCATTCAGATTCAAGCATTATTTCGCAATCACAATCGGACCATGTCACGATGACGAAGTTGGTGTTCCTTATTCCCATAGTTTTGAGCCATTCGTCGTGTTGGAATATAGCTTCGGTCAAAGTGACTCCATCATCGACCTGAAAAAAAATCATCAAACATTAATAAGATCAAAATAAATAGTACATGAAACATAATTTGGATGTATTCGAACCTGAGTTTGTTCTATTCCGGTGAGCTCCTTGCAAAAATCAGTGAGGATCGGATTGTAAGTTGGACGGACATATCTCTGAAACCATCCCCGTTTTTGTCCAGTGACTCCGCTGACAATTACTGATGGGAATTCGATTATCTCTTGGGGATAAATGATCTTTCCCTTGTCGCAAGTGGCCTCGAAATCAATTACAATGAAGTATTGGAATTCTTGCAGGTATTGTTGGTAGGGACGAGTATTTTGAAGAATTTCCATTTGTAGTTATGGTGGAAAGAATGTAGTAGAAACTTATTGTATCTGTATATCAAAAGAATATAAAATTATTATTAACAAAAATAAAAAGTTTAGGATTTATTTTTTCACCATTTCAAAAAAATACATTTTTTCAAAGAAATTAAAATATTACTCATACTTATTATTTTTATATTATTTATATAATTTTTAGAGCTCACATAAAAAAAAAAAAATACTTCTTCAAATAATTTCACTAAACAAACACACCCTTATTTTTTTCCTGAATACATTTTAAAATATATATATCTTTTCATCCCACATCCTTTGTTGGTATACAATTTATTATTATTATTATTATTATTATTATTATTATTTACAATTTTTGTTGTTTTCCAAAGCTCGGCACTGCTAACTACTTATATATGATTGTCGACTTGCCCTATAATCCAATAATTTATTTTTTATTATTTTCAAATCAAATAAATATTTCAAAATACTTTAAAAACATATGCAGATACATACTTAAACTCACTTTTACAAAAAGATTTTAAACTTTTAAAATACATTCAAAATATAACTAAAAGCATACTCAATTTTTCTTTTTCAAAAAATTTTCAAATTTATTATTTTAAAAAAATTTGTTTATTCGAGAGATTTTTCAGATTTTTTTTACTATTAAGGTATTTTTATATAAAATATTATATTAAATTATTTTTAAAGTCAAAATAAAAAAAATCCAAATATAAACTTTAAATGAACTCACATGAAATATAATATTTCATCCGTCCATTATCTACGTATTCATTTATTTTTTGTACGGAGTTTTAGAAATATTAGTATTATATTGGAGCGTGGTGGTATGAATAAAGTAGAAAAAATTAAAATAATCTTATTAGTATTGTGTGATATAAATGTAATGACATTTGTGTAATATATTGTAAGTTGCAAGGGTATTTTTAATGTTGATAGAAAGTAAAACTACTAAAAACATAAATAAATACTTTGTTATGGACATACAAAAATAGAAAAATGGATAGATTGTTAAGAAACGGGGAGTAGGTTTCTTCCACCAAACGAAACTTGCCCGTGGACAACAACAAATGAGGGACGATGAGACTCGAATTCGAAACCTAAGGCTCTAGTACCATATTATAATTAAATTATGAAAATAGGAATATTGCAATCATTAAAACAAGAAGTTTATATATAGGCAACATAAAACAGACATGGTAGACTCAAATATAAATAATCAAGATTAAATTCAAATCTAAATCCACTAAATCTAAAATTGAATATCTAAAATATCTCAACAAACGAAAACGAAGTCAGGTTGAGGAATACCTCGATCAACAGAGAGACAATAAGATAACCGACTGAGAAAACAAATCAGAATATTAAGATAAGAGAATGTGAACTTGTGTGTAAATTTTAGGGTTGAAAGGTTATGACTATTAATAAACTTTTCATTCCACGTAACAAACTTTTTAATATTTTCTCTAAATATGATGTAATCATATTTCATAAGATATGATATCAAAAATCATATATAAACCTTATTTATTTAGTATGGATAAAAAAATTTCGAAAAGTTTGCAATATTTTTTTTATTTATATTTATTAGTTATAATATATAATTATATATTAAAATAAAAGTATATTTTGACGTATTTTTTTTGTATTTTTTTAGCAAACATAATTATAAATCATAGTCGGAACTTACTCGGGGTTTGGGGCAACTACCCAGCACTCAAATTTTTTATTTTTTTATTTTTTTTTGGTGTGTAATAATAAATATTTATAATTATATATACTAATATTTCTCTTGAATTTCAACTCGACGCTATTACCTTATTTTGCCTCTTATATTTTTTCTCTTTCCATGATTCTTTTCCTATTATTATATTATTATTATTTAACAAACTATTTTTTTTTATTTTATTTTGGTCTCTTTCATAATAAAATATGTTTTTTTAGTAACTGTATTGTATGCTTAATATACTTCTAATTTATAATATATTATACAAATGTCATTACTTTTTTTATTATATAATACTAATACATTAGTTTAGTATTTTTACTTTTATTAGTATTTATAAAAAAACCCGTAAAAAAAAACAGAGGGACGGATAAAATACTTCCTCCGTCCAATTTTTATTGTCCTAAAGTATATTTGCATGGTTTTTTACGTGATTATCTTTTTGTTATGAATTGATAAATTTGTCTTTAATTGTATGGTAGATATGAAAAGTAATAAATAAACGGGGGGTAAAAATATAAAATTTATGTTTAAAAAAAAATAGGATAATAGTTGTTGGACGTCCCAAATAGAAAAATAGGACATTAGTTTGTGGACAAATGAAGTATTATTTTTTATTATTATTATCATTTTTTAACGTTGGTGTTGTTTGGACCAGAGTAATAGAAAATTACATAGATCGGTGGAAATGAATCCGCATTTTACCTCTCAAAAGTATAGGGACCCGTTCGGTCATTCACTATAGTATTTATAATAATAATAATAATAATGACATAAAAAAATATCTGATTTTTTGTCTATTTCAAAACAAAATATATACTTTTCATTCTCACTTTTAAAATCATATTTACCTTTTGTATCATTGTACTTAATATTAAAAATATTCTTATATTTGTATAATTTTTTGTACAAATATCATTCTATTAGTATTATAAAGCATTAATTGAAATACTTTTGCAATTTTTTTCTTAATTTTATACTACGTTTTGATATAATAATTAATATTAAAATATCGATATGCAAGAAGTAAATGATTTGTTATTTTTATTTAACTAATATCACATAACTAATACTATATCCGTCTACTCGTAAAGTATCATATTTTTATTGTGGAATGTCTAATTAAAAGATAATCATTTTAAAAATAGTTTTATTTTACCATCATATTATTATTTTTACATCAAAATGTAAAAATACAATTATCTTTACATTATTTTTATATTCACTATAATTAAAATACTAATATTAATATTTAAACTATGTGTCTATATATATATAATATATATAGTATTATTTTCGTTTCAATAGCAACGTAAAGTGATTGAAAATTAATATCTTACTCCCTCCATCCCAACGAAGGAATTTTGTAATAAATTAAATAATAATAGTATTTTATTGATTAGTTAAAGTATATAAGAATTTTTGATATTTTTGTCATTTAACTTTATGTATAAAATAGTTGCATATGTAATAGTATTGCTATAAATTTATATCTTGTATCAATTGAATTATTCGAACAAATATCGTATAAAAAATACGATAAAGAATTAGCAAAAACAAATTCGAAAAAAAAAAAAATCCAAATTAAACTAATAATAAACCAACACCTATATGAAATTAAACAAAGGAAACACCTACTTAATCGAAATGAGAATTGAACTGAAATATTCCCTTCCCGTTGGTGACTTGATTTGCACGTCTAGACATTTCACAAAGCAATTTTACCGACGAGGATTTCTCCGGTCATCTTCTTCGGCAGTCTCGGACGATTCGATTTTCTCCAATCTTGACGATCTTCTTCCTTCTTCTTTCTCCATCATAAGGATGGCGGTTTTCGGCTCAGAGCGAATGGCCTGAGATAACATAACACGCATTAAGATTGGAAGTCGGGTCGTCACTCCAAGCCTCGACACCCACAGGAATCAGCCATTGAAAAGTGCTCAATATGATCACCAGAATACTCTCGAAACTCACCTGAAATTCCATTGGAACACTCACCAATTTCTCTCTCTCTCTCTCTTTGAGGGACTTGCTCGGTTAAATTTTGAATGATCAAAATTTTCAATAAGTATATTTGAAATTTAAGAAAAAGTTAATAATATGATTATTTTTTTAAAAATAAAAAAAAATATATTTTATCCGCCCAATTGAAATATTGACATTTATTATTTTCGTCATTTCCAAAATAAGGTTACAATTTTCTAATTTAGTAATTATACTACATACATAATATAATAAATATCCATTTTATTTATAATATATTACACAAATATCATTATTTTTTATTACACAATATTAGTAAGGATATTTTTGTCTTTTTCATTATAACCAAATATTAACAAATTTATTTGCAAAAAGTAAACGACAACCTAATTGGTAGTTGAAAATAGTAAAAATATATTTTGAATTGAGATTGAGAGATAGATGTTGGTATGTTGTGAATTAATAATAGAGTTAATTTTTGTTTTTTATAACACGACTTTTTTTTTTGAAATATTATTAAAAATTAATATATATATATTAATATAACATATATTTTATCAACTAAAAAAAAAAAAAAAGAAGCTAATATTTCAATATACAATACTCTCTCCGTCCCAATACAATAGTCTTGTTTATCATTTTTGTCTGTCTCAAAACAATAGTGTCATTTCTATAAATAATCATATCACCGTAAAACCATCCTTACTTTTTCATTATTATCACACATTTGTTACTATTTTTTTTACTAATATACTTACAAGAGCAAAAAAGTTATTTATCCTTACTTTTTACCAACTACCGATATAATATCAATATTCCTTAAATCTCGTGCCCAATATAACAAGACTATACTTTTGGGACGAATGGAATATCATCTATTATGTTACCGATATAATTAATATACAAATCATATATATTTTATTTAGTTACAAAAATTAACAATTTAACTCAAATATTCAATTTGTTCACATATCATTTCACAACGCTCAATGAAGAGACTAATAATTTATTATATTACCGATATAATTGTCGATATTTCATATAAAAAATACAAAGTGAACACATAAATTATATGAACAATCCGATCAAAAATATATTCAATTGTTTGCTCGTTGTTTGACTTGACTCTTAAGCTTTTATCGATTACAATACGTATTATTATTAAGTTATTTTTATAGTTTTTTTACCATATATACAATGAATATAAAGTACAGGTTTTTAAAGAAAGTAAAATTTTAATATAAAAAATACTTTAAATTAAAACACTAAAACAAATAAATTCTTAGAACAATCCCAATCAGTCCATGTCATAACGGAAAAGTTAAGTTCTGTTCTTCTGTAAATTTTAACATATATTTTTACTATTTATATATTTTTTTTCTTTCAAAAATATTAAATCAAATAATTTTTTTTTATATTATACTACACATTTATTTCACATTCAAAACATTACGAATTCAACATAAATTCTACCTCGGAACACAGAAAATACACAATAAATTATTTCATCAATATTTAATAAACCGTAAATCACCAATTCAAAATTGTTTATAGTTGGCTCGAAGAATCTGTACCATTTTCTCATTTATTTAAAAACTGCATAAGACTCCTTATATTTCAAAAACATTACATCTAACCCCTTAAAATTTGCACCAAACTCTCTAATGTTTTAAAAATCATTGCACAAAAATTCTTCAAAAAGAGATTCTTGCAATTGAAGAGAGAGCTTCGTGCAATTTCTAAATCAAAATGCAAAACTTTTCAAATCAACTGTGGGTTACAAGTAATTTTGCTTTGGTGGCCATAATAAATGGAAGTTCAATTTCAATATAAACCAACCTAAGAAGCACCGGTACATTCATGGCAGGGAAAATGGCCATTTCCTCCACAATTGCTGCAGCCTGAAGCAGATTCAGATTTGGAGGGGATCTTTGCTTTTGTCTTTGTCTTTGTCTTAGTCTTTATCTTGATATCACCAATTATAGGAATCAAATTGAATGCCTCTCTTCCTCTTCCTCCTCCAGTCGGCTTCATAAACCCAGACCCTTTGCATTTTGAGCATGCTATTAGCTTCAGATCACCACATCTTTTGCACATCCCCAATGACCTGCTTCCATTTATGAGTATCACATCATTCTCCCCAACCGCACACATTAACAATAACAATACTTATCAAATTAGGTAGAAAAAGGACCTTTAACTTTAAGGTTCCAGTTTTGAACTCAAAGAAAACATAATGGCAAAAATTATGCACTCAAGCTAATCACCACAAGTTTTAGAATTGTGAACAAGTTTCTACTGTTAAATTCCAAATCCATAAAGAAGTTTGTGGATTCATCAATTTTGGTGGTGTAAATCATTCAAAAGCTATTAATTAAGTAAATGACGCGCTTTAGACTAACATTTTCTTCAAAGCTTCATCGTTAAAAATCAATTTCACGTTTAAGAACGAATCTGTAAAGAGCTAGCTAAGCAGGTGTGGCATAAGTAGCTGGATTGATTCGAGTGCAGTTAAAGAAGAAATTGACAAGGAAAACATCACCGACGTGCGTTGAGAGGCCGAAATGAAGGAATCGATTTTGGGAGCTGAAATGGTGGCTGAAAGCAGAAGAGCGCCCACTGCATAGCCAGCTACTTCATTTGCTGTTATGTTCTCCAACATCTTCAACGCCTCTGCGCTTCTGCTCCGCCGTCGTCCGTCCCTTCGGTGACCACAGAACTTTTGCAACTACAAACTTATCCTTTAGAAAATAAAATTTTAAGAAATGGATGGGATGGGATTGGTATTTGATACGATGTGTTGTTCCTTATTACTACTCCACTCAGTCCACGTATCATGTCTACAATGTCGTTTATGTCACTTTTATATTTCATATCATTTTTTTCTAAAAAAAAAATTTATTGCACACTTTAATCTCATTTTAAACTTTTTTAATTTATTTTTATTTTTTTAATTTTAATTAAACTAATTAATTATCTTAATATTAATTTATAATTATTTATATTATAAAATAATTATTTTCATTAATACATTCTTAATTATCTATTAATTATATCCCTCTATAAAATACCGTATCTACGGTATAGCAGAGAAAGAAGGAATAATATAATATATCACTTATATTTATTATTTTTATATTTTATACAAAACAAACACATACTTCTATAAAAAAAAATATTTTTTAAAAATTATTTTACAAAACAAATGCATATTCTATTAAAAAAAACTTCTAAGATGTGTTAGTTTAAAAGATTTTCTCGTAAATCTATTAATTTATCAAAAGAATTTTTTCTAAAAAATATAAAATAAATATTTATTTTTTATTTTATATTATATTCTTTTCATTCCATAATTAGTATCTGCTTGCATACGACCTAATCTTTCGTAGCATGCATTCCCGTCCGTGTCGCAACTTTTAATAATATTAGTATTATATTGAAATTTAGTAGAAATAAAATAGAAATTACTAAGGATGTGTTTGTTTGGGGATTGTATTTTAAATACATTATTCATCCAATTTTTTCCCCCAAAAATATCAAATCAAACATTTATTTTTCATTTTTTTATATTATACTAAAAACTAATTTTAAATTCACAACATCACATTAACACTTATTTATATCACATCATACAACTATTCAAATTTCAACTCAAAATCCAAACCCTCAAACAAACAAACTTTAAAATAAAATGAATACTTTGTTATTGGACAAATTAAAATGAAAAAATAGATATTTTATCGTGAGACAGAGAGTATTAAATATTAATTTTACATTCAAAACATCACATTAGAACCACAATTATAATTTAAAATTTTTAACTATTTAAATTTTAACTTAAAATTCAAATTTCAAACAAACAAACAGCTGCTTTAAAATTATTACTTCCTCTTTATGCATATTTAAATATTAGTATTATATTATATTACAGCTAAAAAGAATAAAAATACTCTTATTATTATTATTATTATATAATATAAAAATAATAATATTTATATATAAAAATAATGACATATAATATTATATAAATTAAAAAAATATTTATTATTTTAAGTAGGTAGTTAATAATTTTGTTTTGAAATGAAGATTAAAAATAACAATTTTTTAATGGAATGGGATGGCGCAGAAGGAGTATTATTTTCTTCTGTCTTCTATTAAAATATTATAAATTATAAAGATATTTTCTTTATTATCCGCAAATACAATAATTAGAGTAATGGTGAGGAAGCGTACACGTAGACAAAGCCGTTGTACCTTTGACCATTCAGTACACCAACGGAGGAGGAGGAAGAACAGAGGAGGAGGCCGCGCCGCCATGTCTCGGGTGGATTCAGCTTCTGCCGCCGTCACCTTTCCCGGATTCCGAACCTCTTCCGATCTGCCTCGAAACCAACAGAAGAACCGCTTCGTGAATTTCCACTTCCACAATAAAAAAAATCGCCGACAATTCAGAATCTTTTGCCAGACAAATCCGAATCCAGTGGAATCCGCAGCAGCAGAGGAGGTAATGCAAATTTCGCTGCTATAATTATATAATTCGAAGGTTCGCGAAGCCATAGTATCAAATCAAAACGAAAACCGCGTGTGCAGGAAAAGCAGTTACCGGAGGAGGCGGATTCCGAAGCCAAAGGAAACTCAGATGCAACCACAGCTCCGCCGGCCGGAATCGGATTCCCGGAGTATCCAGACAAAAATTTCAACCGGCGAATCGCGGTGGTTTCCACCGCCGCAGCGGTTGGACTGTTCCTGTCGACGCGACTGGAGTTCGGCGGCCGTGTGTCGTTGAAGGATCTCTCGGCTTCAGCATTGCCTTATGAGGAGGTTTGAAATTTATTCGTCCTTGCTTCGTCTTCGTCTTCGTTTTCCATAGATCTACAGCAGTTTTCAATCGATTTGTTTTTGGTGCTTAGGCTCTCTCGAATGGAAAACCAACTGTGGTTGAGTTCTATGCTGATTGGTGTGAAGTTTGCAGAGAATTGGCACCAGATGTCTACAAAGTGGAGCAAAAATTCAAGTAAACAGCAATAATACCTATTATATCTTCTGTTTCTAACATCTTCAATTCACCTCAATTTCATCATCGTCTTGAAGATGTTCATCAATGTTGAATTGATGATTGCTGGTTGTTGTTGTTGTTGTTTAGGGGGGAAGTGAATTTTGTGATGTTGAATGTCGACAATACAAAGTGGGAACAAGAGCTAGATGAGTTTGGGGTTGAAGGCATTCCTCATTTCGCCTTCCTCGACCGGGAAGGGAACGAGGAGGGGTACGTCGTAGGCCGTCTCCCTACTAAATACCTTCTCGAAAACGTCGACGCCCTTGCCCGGGGTGAAGCAACCGTGCCTCACGCTCGTGTCGTTGGGCAGTTTTCAAATGCCGAATCCCGGAAAGTTAGTCGGGTTGTCGATCCGAGAAGCCATGGCTGAAATAACTAGTACTCAAAGTTATCATTTGCTAATGAAGAAGATGATCATGGTATTCAAAGATTGAATATTATTCAAATGTGCCCATAATTGCAGGAACTTCTATTATATATACATACGTACATACAAACATAGACACACACACAAAACTTCACTTATCATAGCATCCTTGAAAACCTCTCAAGAAGGAATAAATGAACGTTAAGAAACAGGTGGAAGACATAGTTACCTGACTATATTACTGAGTAAGCTGTTGGCGGACGGCGAGCTCTGCTCGCTCGGCCATGGATCCCGAACGGAGACAGGGGAACAATCCTTCATCTCGTCTGTTACAGGCAGTTCATCCGCGACCGTTCTCTGTGGAACGATCAATCGCCGGCTACCCAATCCTGTGCGCTTACTTGTCGAATTGTTGAACGACGTCTCGCTCCCTTGGTACGGAGACGAGCAAGAGGAGGCGACGGAGGATCCCATGTGGATATTCTCTTCCATCGGCGCCCAACCGCTGAGCCGGATCTGTTCCAGCTCGTCCGCCACTTCCATCATCGACGGCCTCATGTCCCTGTGGAAGGCGAGGCATCGGAACGCCAGCTCAGCCAGTTTGTGAACCGACGAGAGTGTCCACGCGTCTCTGTGTGGCTCCAGGTATGGATCGATTATCTCGTCGACTCGACCCTTTCCTATCCTGTCTGTTGCCAGCGCAGCCAGGTTGATATCGCTGTGCGGTCGCGAAAAGTCTACGACTTTCATCGCCGTGATGATTTCGACAAGAACCACGCCGAAGCTGTACACGTCACTTTTATCCGAAAGGTGGAAGTTCTGGTGGTATTGAGGGTCGAGGTAGCCGGGCGTACCTTGCGGCGCCGTCGAAACATGGGAGTCGTCCGCCATGCCGAATCTGGAAAGACCGAAATCTGCGACCTTCGACTTGAACTCGTAATCCAACAGAATGTTGCTGGATTTGATGTCTCTGTGGTATATCGGAGGATTGATCGCCGAGTGAAGATGGGCGATTGCATGAGCGGTTTCTGCTGCGATGGTTAGACGTATCGTCCATGGCAAGACGGGGCCTCTCTCTCTCTGTAGATGCTGAGACAGGGTGCCGTTCGGCATGTACTCGTAAACAAGAATCTGTTCACCGTTCTCAATGCAACAGCCTAGAAGACGGACGAGGTTTGGATGGCTCACAGAGGACAGGAGCTTGATTTCGTTCATGACCTGCTCAACACTCTCGTGGTCGCGGTGTTTTATCTTCTTGATCGCTACCATCTCAAAGTTGTGGAGCTTCCCAGAGTAAACTGTGCCGTATGCGCCGGTTCCCAACCTCTGTTTCTCGGAAAATCCATTCGTTGCTCGCTCGATTTCCTTGTAAGGATAATATGGGACACTCGAGCATCCGGCTGCTTCGCTTATCAGCCGCTTTGCGCTCAGCCGGCTCTTTAGAAGCTCGGTGCGTCGCCTGATACAGTAGCAGATGGCTGCCAGAGTAGCCAACATGGAGGCTCCAACAGTAATCCCTACAAAGATCACCATAGAAGATATATGAACTGTAACTCCAATGCTACTTGAAAGAATAGGTTTTTTCGATATAAGAACAGCAAGTACCTGCAATGAGTGCTGTAATTCTACCATGGCTAGACCTTTGTGGGCTGAGCTGCTGTGGTGCTGGTGCAGAAGCATTAACTGAAGAAAATAAAAAGGTTGAGATACATTGGGTTGGAAGTATTTGAAATAAGTCATTAGAATGCAATTCATGTCAAAGATGAGTGAAGCAAAATTGCAGAAACTTGGTTAGGGATTTTGCCCAAAAAGATGACATTGGTTTTCCATATATTTTCAATCTCTCTCTATACATATTTTCTTCAGTATCATAAGCTATGTTTCAAATTCATAGTCGATGAATTATACTACCTCCCTCCAAGCTAATTTGTCCATATTAGTTGGGTACAGAGTTTTTAATATTATTTAATTAATAAATAATTAAGAAGTATATTAAAAAAATAATTATGATATAATAAAAATAATTATAAATTAATATTAAGATGACTAAATAATTTAATTAAAATAAAAAAATCATGAATTTTTAAAATGTAATTAAAGTGAATAATTATATATTTTTTTTAAAAGAAAAAAGATAAATTATGTGTGACTAATCGAAAAGAAAGAATGAACAAAATATATGGGAGATAATAATAAGAGTTGAATTGCAAAAGCTTTCAATCTCTTGTGACATTCCAATCAGTATTTCCCAATCTAAAGCATCAAAAGATCACATATACCAGCATATGAATATCATGTCCATATTCGGCTTCATATTTCCCCAACTATTTTACAGCAGAAGGTCCAATGAAATAACAGAATTAGTTTTACTAGCAAATAGTTCCTAACCAAAATTGCTTCTAACCCATCTCTAGTTTCGAAAAACTGCACTATTCCCCGTCGTCATCGATTAGAAACCGAGCAATATTCTTTGCCCAAACTTAATGGATTGTGGAAGCAGAATGGGGATGGGGATTCTAAACCATAGTAGGCCATAGTACAACTTTTTCAAATCACAAGTGAATTATAAATAATTATATGTAATTTTTATTCCAATAACATGTCATATTTTCATCAAATGCTCACCCTATTACCCATTCCTAGAAAAAAGAAAGTCAAGGAAGGCAGCTTCACACAAGTCGCCTTCCTCCCTCCTTCCAAATACTCTCAATCCATTTGTCATATTACATCAACTACTACCCTACCAATAAAAAAAAAGTCTAAATTATGTGAGGAAGATTCAAACCAATCACATCATCTCACTGCCAATAAGTTAAGAACACACTCCCCTCCTTGCAATAGTTTAATCAATTCTTGAAACTTCATTTTATCCATCTATATATTATCTTCTGAATCTTGTTCAACTGTAAGATGAACTTTCAACTCTCCCCAAGACTACAGAAATTTCCACATCATAAATCCCAGTAACTAAAAACTTAAATATAAACTTGACCAAACACACTGTCCCACAACTATGGTGCCAAACAGGTCAACAATACTTGCTAGAAAAATCTTAGGTCTTGTCCATTGCACCCACACGTTATCATGCTGCTATAAACCTAAAATCACTTTTCATGTTCATATTGATCAAATTCAAGAATGCCCAAATTCTACATAATTTCCATGTAATTAACTAACACACAAGCAAGAAATCTTTAATATACAAGTGGTAAATAATGACAGTGAATGCACTGACTCACCTTGCCGGCAACCCTCGCCGTCGGCGAAACCATCTCCGGTGTAACCTACTTTACATTCACAGCGGATTTGGGTAGCATTTTTGACGTGGTGTCGAATTGTGTTGGCATTGCTAACACAGGGAAAGCTTTCATTTACCCACCATTTGAGCTCCATCATCCGGAAATCCAATGAAGCAGAAACAGTGGTGTTCACACTAGCATTCCCTATCAAACCTACCATTACCGACGAAATCAGGCCGCTGCAATTCAGTGTCTTCATCCTTTTATAGTCCAAAAACTCAGAATCGTCGTTAGTATCTCCTATATAACAACTCATGGTTTGATTATTGGTGGAATCGATGCAACCGTCTACTCCGATCCCTAACCTCTTGAGCAGTCTGTCAGGAAACAAGCAGTCATTGATCGGCCTGACGCAGTGATCTAACAGAAGAGCGTTGTTCACCGTCGGCGAGTAGTTCGTGCCTATCAGCGAGGATAAATCTTCGATCGAACGGGTGCAATTTGGAGGAACACTTACCAAAATCCGATCGGACGTTAAATTCAAAACTGTAAATTCCCCAATCTTCATCAAATTCAAATCTCTAGTACAGTTCAACCGGATTGCACATCCTTCGGTGAATCCAAACGGAAATGGCACGGGTGAACTGCCACAAGTTCGATTACACGCAGCAGCAGCGAGCGACGTGAGTGCTAAAAGTCCAAAACCTAAAACAATGATGAATCGGCGAACACGAGCAAACATCTTATGCAGGCGATACCACAATTCTCACTTCATCAGCACGAACGCGGCAACGGGGGGGAACAGCACAGGAACAGAACACAGAACACAACACCAAAAAAAACACCAATTAAATAGGGTTACTAATCTGCAACACACGATAGACGGTTGACTTGAAGCGAGAGTATTAATGGAGGAAATAAAGAGGTGCAGTTGATGTTGGTTGGGGGAAATTAAATGCCCCTCAACGCTTCTCGTAATTGCTCCTCCATCGCTTCCATTCAAAATTCACGCCACGATCCAACCAACAGCCATCAATCCCTTCCCCGTGGTTGCAGAAAAGGCCTTTGACCCGATGCACCAGTCGAAGCGCACGCAGACGCAGGTGAGGAAGACGAAGGAAAAGCGTGTGAAAATTCCGGGAAACAGAGCGAGGTTTATCCAGTGCACTAAATACGCAGCAGAACATGGCCATGGCGGAGACGTGAAATGACATTCATACCCTCGCCAGTAATGGATGATTTTTAAATTAAATTAAAAAGTGATTAAATGTGTTTGACTGCCTTTCCAGAAAGGTTGATTTAGTCTAATATAGTGGAGTTTGGGTTAAACATATCTTTCTAGTCAACCAATACAATATTTATTAGTATTTTTTTAAATTTTAAAAGTTACGTTTTGACATAGAGAATTACATTGAAAATAATATTAATAAAGAAAATAGAGAATAAGAATCAATTTTTTTATTTATTAAAATATGAAAGAATTTATATGTAAAAATATTTTTTTGTTAAAATTATATATATATATATTAAGAATCATATTGCTAAAAATATGAAAAATAAATATAGCAATCTAAAAAAATATATAAATGATCATTCACTTAGCATTTTTAGATAAATTATTTTTTTTTTGTGTATGCATGGAGAACTGCGTTCGTAATATTAAAAATAATATTTTATATTAAATTATTAACGGTAGATAATGTATACTTCCTCCGTCTATTTTCTATTGTCCTAAAGTATATTTACACAATTTTTTTAGGTGATTGTCTTTTTGTTATAAATGAACAAATTTGCCCTTAAGTGTATGGTAGAAATTAAAAGTAATAAATGAATGAATGGTAAAAATGTAAAATTTGTATTAAAAAAAAAATAGGACAATGTTGGACGTCCCAAATAGGAAATTAGGACATTAGTTTGTGGACGGAGAAAGTATATTATATGAGTGTATATATATTTGTATTTTTTTAATAATATTTATAATGAATTATTCCATTGAAAAATAATGGATGGAGATACTGAATATAATGTCAAAGATAAAGAGATAGATTTATCAATTAAGAAAAAATGTGACGATGAATAGAAAAAAATAAAAAATAAAAAAATTGTGAATTGTGAATTCTTAACAAAAAATATTAATTGTTAGTGTGTTTAATTGGTAATTTTTATTTTTTTTATAAAATAATAATTTGAATATGATATTTTATAAAATTAAAATAGCATATTTTTAAAAAACTAAATGGTAAAAAAATAGTTAAAAAATTTGAGAAATGGACACGACCTATATATATGCATGTTTATTCAATTTTTAAGTTTTTTTTAAAAAAATTTACACTTGTAAGAGAAATGAAAATAAAGATTAAAAAATCATTGGTTTTTTAATTTTAATTCTCTTACCTAAATAATGATATATTATTATTTTTTTATGACGTGAAATCCGCAGTTTCTATCCGAAAGTGCGTACTGGTAAACCCCTCGGTCGAACCTAATGCCTTGCAAACCAGGTCAGACAAAAAAGTCACACTAAACAAACCATGTATAGCAGATGACCTAAAAAGTCGGGAGTTTGAACCCATGATCTCATGGTCACAAGTTCAACCCTACGTATCATTTTTCTAGAGTGGCTTCGTATCAATTTTTTTTTTTTTTTTAAAAAAAAGTAAAATAAATTGTACTCCTACTTCGGCACATTTAATTTGAAATGAAATTAAGTTGTGTCATCTTTAATGTATTATTTGGAGAAATTAGAGGAATCTTTGATTCAATTATAAGTTTTCCGTTATAATCAATATTTTAAATTTTATCTTAAAATAATGATTTCTTTTAGTTAAATTTTTCTTTAAGTACAAAATATCCAAAATAGCAGTTTTTGTTTTTTCATTTATAAAGATTAGTGGATTTATTTGTTTGGTTGGCTTTGTTATTTCAACAAAAAAATTTAATATATTTTTTCAAAAATTCTAATATATTATATACATTCTTTGTTCTTATATTATCCATATAATTTCTCATACCTCACATAAAAATATCAAAATATAAAACAAACAAGTTTCATCGAGGATACGAGTAGGATGTTTGATAATTAATTTTTTGAACGGTTTTTAACTTATTTCACAGCTTTTTAGTTGTTTGATCAGTTAATAAGTTAATTTTAGTGTTTGGTAAATCAATTTTTTAAAACAACTTATTGAATCTGTTCGTGAAAAACTATCCTATCCAACATTTCACTTTAATTATATTTATTCTATAATTGTCCTTAAATAGTAATTATTTTCCCTATTTATTATTTTAATATATTTATATTTTTGGTAATTATAATTTCATTTTAAACTTTATAGTAATTGAAATTATTAATTAATTTTATATATTTTTTATTTTCTTTGTAAAATACTATATTAATTTACTAAATTAAGAAAAAAATATAAATATTATTAACTTATTTATATATATTTATAATATAAATTCTATATTGTAAATAAATAAAATTGATTAAATTGATTGAAATTGTATTAAATTAATTGATAATTAACATAATTAAAATGCATATACCAAAAATTTGTTCTTTAATATTTTATGTTATTTTCTACACAAAAATTATTATTTTTTTTAGTAAAATATTATTATTTTTACAAAAATAATTAAAAACAGCAAAATAAGTATATTAATAATACTTTCACAATTTTCGATAATCGATAATAAAAATTATCAAAAGTTTTAAACTCCAAATAGTACAGTTGAATACTTTTAAAATACAATATAAATATTATCGTTTGTCATTTTACATATTAACAACTAATATAAAAAAATTATTTTACCAAATACTTTAATACAAACTGCTAATTAAATTAAGTATATTAATTAGTTAATTAAAAATATATAAACTATTTTATTGTTATACTAAAATAAAAATTAATTTTATATTCAAAATATTATATAAATTAAATAATTTAAAATGTTGCTCCCTCTTTCATCCAAATCTATTCTTATTTTCTTTTTTTTTTTAATTATCATCTAAATTTGTTTCCGTTTTTCTTTTTGTGTGTTTGTTTGGGGGTTTGAATTTTGAGTTGGGATTTGAATAGTAAAAATTTTGAATTTGAATAGTTGTATGATGTGATATAAATAGGGTTTGATGTGATGTTTTGAATGTAAAATTGATTTTTAGTATAATATAAAAAATGAAAAATAGGTGTTTGATTTGATGTTTTTGGGGGGAAAAAATTGGATGAATAGTGGAAATCCACCAAAATCCTTCAAACAAACACACCCTTAAAAAAAAAAAAAACCATTTTTTAAAAAATTTTCTTTATAAAAAAAAGTAAAAATTACTATTTTATCTATTTTTTAAAAAAAATTGGTGTCTGATCAAATGATCACACACAATTGGATAACGAATACGAGTTTTAGATTTGTGTTTAGTATTTAAAAATAATAAAAAAATTTATTGAATTAATTTGATTTGATATGAACGGTTGAAATTGGGTCAACTCAACACTAATATGATATTGTCCGCTTTAGGCTAAGTCTGCACGGATTTGTTTTTGAATATTCTCCAAAAGGCCTCGTACCTGGAGTTCACTTGAGACTTATAAAGTGAGCAATTTTCTTCCCAACTTCCGATATGGAATTTGGATTGCACCCCAACATGAACAAATATTATATAAAATTACGAATGAAAATTTTTTAATAGGTATTTAATACAATTATTTTGAAAAAGAACATATTTTACTTTCATTTATTTCATTTTGAGTTCGAATTTAAGTTTAATCCCATGTTATTAATTCAAATTTGCTTCTTTTTTCTTTCTTAACTTTTATTTTTTAAATTTAGGTTATATTTTTTAATATATATATATATATTTACTATTGTCTAAATACAAAGTATTTATTTATTTTTTTAATATCTATGGACTTGCTACACATTACAAATATTTTATATTAATATTTATTTATTTCAACACTTTCACATTAACTTTACACATCATAATTATATGAATAATGTTATATTTTTGGATCGAAAAAACTAAGTCGAAAACAAATTTGAAATGAATTAAGTAGAACTTTATTGAAGAACAAAATCCAAAAAAAATCAAAACATAATCGAAAATACACTATATGCCTTAGATTTTAGTAGATCAACCCCTATTAAGAGAAGACCAAAACAGCGACAAACAACTCTGGCGCCTGCCAACATTATCCCGGCAACACGTACCTTCTACCGAAAAATGAAACTCAATTCTTGCAACGGAAACGGAACGAAACAGAAAAATCGAACCGTAAAAATCCTCACAAATACTCCATAGAACATTACAGAAGAAAGAACATCTCAATTTCGCAGTGAAAAATCACCGGAACCACCGGAGAAAAACATACTATCTCCGTCTCATAACAAAATATTCATTTTTCTATTTTGGTCTGTCTCGTAACAAAGTATTCATTCTTTTTTTTAAGTAAATGTACTATCTACGTAATATTACAAATATCCTTACAACTTCCAATATATTACACAAATACCATTACTTTTATATCACACAATACTAATAAGGTCATTTTAGTTATTTCTACTTTATTCTTATTATATCTCAATATAATACTAATATTTCTAAAACTTTATGTAAAAAGCAAATGGATATATAGTTATGGGACGGAGGAGGGAGAATAAGAGATAGTGCGGGTGAGACAAAGTGAGACAAAAACTCAGCGGCACACACACAGATGTGTGTTTTGTGGTGAGGAGTAACAACATATATTAACGGATAAATAATTTAGATTTAAGCCCTAGGATGGACGTTTGGGATTTGATTTTGGGAAGACCGGATCGCATGGGTCGGATTAGCACCGGACGGGTATGGATAATTCGCCCAAAAATCGAACAAATAAAATAACCTTTACATATTGTAATTATATATATATATGTTTGGATAGTTTAGTAGAATTTTATAATAGTTTTACTTTTTTAAAACAAAAAATTGTATGTAGGATGTGTTTGACAATTAGCTGATAGTTGTTAGTTGTAAGTTGATTCGATTAGTTGTTAGCTGTTAGCTGATTCGATTAGCTGATTTGATTAGCTAATTCGATTAACTGTTTGTATTAAAGTGTTTGGTAAAATAGCGGTTTGATATTAGTTGTTTATACGTAAAATAACAATTAAGGACATTTTATATTTTATTTTCAAAATATTTAGTTGAGTTTTTTCGATGGGTAGACTTTTTTATAATTTTATTATTAATTTTAAAAATTATAAAAATTTTAGTAAGATATTTGTTTTTTTTATTTTAAAAATATTTTGTAAAGAATTAATGCAAGCTTATTAAATTAATTTTTAATTAATATATATTTACATTAAATTTATAATTCTAAATAAATATATTTGTTTTTTAATAAAAAAAATACTATGTGATAAAAAATGCTATATAATTGATTCAATAATATTAATATTTTTATATTATCTTTATTCTAAAATTTTTTTTAAAAAAATTACAAATAAGATAATTGACATATAAAAGAATAATTATTTTAAATTTATAAATATGAATTTATAAGTTATTAGAAAATATATCTAAATAATTAATAAATAGTGTAATAAAAAAAAAATATATGAAGGATCCAATAAGCTATTTGAAAATGCTAATTTACCGAACACCAAAATTAGATGATTTACTCGTCAAAGAGCTAAAAACTCTTAAATAAACTAAAAACTCTTAAAAAATTTGTTAACCAAAACACCCTCTTACTCTTACCCCGCCCAATCCATTCCTGTAATATTTTACTAATAATGAAATTTTTATTATTGAAAATTAAAATTTATGAAACTATTTTGTAATATTATTTGAGCGAAATAAATTTTTTATTGATTTTTAAATATTTTATTAAAAGTTAATATATTTTTACTAAAAATATAAGTCGAAATTATTTTATTTATAACAATATAATGTATAAAAGTATATTGTTTTATATAAATCAGCCAATACGGATAATGCATGCATATATATATATATATATAATTTGTTGTGCAATATTATTATTATTATTAAAATACATATTATCCGCTTAATAATTTGTACTAACTTGTACTGATTTAATTTGATCAATACGAATTGGACCTAAATTAAAATCATATATTTGTCTCTCTATTTTTTATATGCCGATTGGAGTCGACAGAGTAACCTTTCACCTATATTTCTCCCATTTTAATATTGTCCAAAAAATATATACACACGTGTTTGTTTGACGGGTTTTACTCCAAATCCATTATTCATTCAATTTTTTTCGTCAAAAAAATATCAAATCAACTACTATTTAAATATTTTACTATTTAAATCTAACTCAAAATCTAAATTCCCAAACAAACACACCCTAATTCATCCCTTTCCAAATTCTCATGCAACAACATATTTGTCCATCTCCAATTTCACCATTAAATATATAATTCACCAATTAATCGTCCATTCCTAATTCCAAATATTTATTTATTCATTCATTCATCATCCATTCATCATCAACAATCCCTATTCGTCTAATTCCTCTTCCCCTACCCCTTCCCTCCCCACCAATTAATCATTCTCACATCATTACCTGAAAAATTCCATTCCATGAACAACAACACCACCACCACCACCAATTCCGACACCGGCGGTAGCCAAAACACGGCGGCGCCGCCCGATTTGCGAAGACAAACCTTGAACAACCTCCTCATCCTCCACCACCATTCCCAAAGGAGAAATATTAACAATTCCGACGATCTCCCGCCGCTTCGCTCTTCTCCGGTCGCGTCGTGCACGTCGTCGTCGTCCCCGACCTCCACCACCCTCTCCACCTCCCCCCTCTGCAAATCCCCCTGGTCCTCCCACGTCGTCCCCGACTCCTCCTCCTACACCGGCCTTGTCGCCTCCCTCGTCCGCGAAGACGGCCACATTTATTCCCTCGCCACCGCCGGAGACTTCCTCTACACCGGCTCCGAAAGCAAGAACATCCGCGTGTGGAAGAACCAGAAAGAATTCTCGACCTTCAAATCCAGCTCCGGATTTGTCAAGACCATCATAATCTCCGGCGGCCGGATCTTCTCCGGCCACCAGGACGGCAAAATCCGCGTCTGGAAAGCCTCCAGGAAGGACCCGCGACTCTACAAACGGGTCGGGTCGCTGCCGACGTTCAAGGCCCGGATAAAGAGCTCCTTCAGCTTCAAGAACCCGGTGGCGGCGGCAGCGGCGGCGCAGCACGCCGACGCAATCTCGTGCCTCGCGTTCAGCGAGGACCGGTCGCTGCTCTACTCAGCGTCATGGGATGGGACGTTTAAGGTTTGGCGCGTTGCCGATTCGAAGTGCATGGAATCCGTCGGCGGAGCACACGGCGATGCAGTGAACGCGATTGCCGTCGGGTTCAACGGCCTCGTTTTCACCGGGTCGGCAGACGGCACCGTCAGGGTGTGGCGGCGGGAGTCGCAGGGGAAGGGGACCAAGCATTTCCCGACGCGGACGCTTCTCAAGCAGGAGTGCGCCGTCACAGCGCTCGCCGTCAACCATTCCTCAGGCGGGTTTCTTTACAGCGGCTCGTCGGATGGCCTCGTCAACTTCTGGAGGCGCCGGAGGGAGCTCTGCCATGGCGGGGTGCTGAAGGGGCACAAGCTGGCGGTGCTGTGCCTGGCAGCGTCTGGGAATTTGGTGTTCAGCGGATCCGCCGACACCAACATTTGCGTCTGGCGGCGGGACGAGGGCCGGCACATCTGCCTCTCGGTGTTGATCGGCCACACCGGTCCGGTGAAGTGCCTGGCCGTCGAGGAGAAGGAGAACGCCGGGTACTGGCGCGGAATGGGGGACCGGCGGTTCACCGTGTACAGCGGCGGGATCGATAAGTCGCTGAAGATATGGCGGGTGACAATGGCGCCGGAGGCCACCGGGGTGGAGGCGGTGCCGGCGGCGGCCGGCGGAGAGTTTCGGCAAGTGACAAATCTGTTGGATTAAATTGAATGGAATTGGGAAAAAATTGAATTGATCGTTTGCATGGTTAATTGGAATTTGGAAGGGACAAAAGGGTAATTTCGCTATTGTATTAAATTCAATATCTGCCCTACTGCATTTACCTGATATTTTTTGAAACTTTTGACACTATCCATCTGACCCTATCAAATTTTTGAACCTAAAGAAGATTCTTAAGTGGTCATTATATCTCTATCTATACAACTTTTCTGAATCTAAATTTCAATTAGGCACAAAATTGTACCTTTCCTGCTCCTGTGTGGTGAGCAGAACATTTTTGCAAGCCCATCCCAAACCCGACATCGTCTCGATCAGCACCGGGGCATCATTCTCGGCGGTTTTCTTGCTTTCTTCGATCAATTCTGGCCACAGACGAACAACTGAATCTGCCGAAACAAGCCCTTCCGGTAGGAGGCTATTGCGAATTCGACAAGCCTAGGTATTCCATGACAATGCTTGAATTGCTTCTAGAAACATAACGGTAAGAATGATCACGAAGAAGAGGAATAAACATTTGGTTACCTGCAATAAACCCGTAATAACTTCAGATGTTGCAGCTCCTTCCCGTACGCATAGAAGAATACCGACCTGCAATTGCATCAGTGGCGAAAGATTGATTAAAATTCATTTAAACTGTTGAATAGAAATTGTGTTGCAGCCCATTATTTTACAACATACGTACATCGTTTAGCCCACTATCATGAGGCAACCTCTCAATACAGACGAAGTAGAAATCTTGATCGTTTAGGGACCTCAACATCATCATGGTCGGCTTCGGAATTTTCTGATTTTGATTCAAGCAGCCAATTCTAATAGGCAGAAGTTCCCTGCCTGATCCAAAGCTCCATTAAGAATATGTTTTTGATCCTATGGAAACTTACAAATTAACATCGTTAACTGCAAAGAAAACATTACCTTTCCTCCATAAGAAATCAACGCCTTCCCTCTCACTCACTTCGGCCGGTGACGGGACATGTCCTTGATGAATCCAAATATATATTATTTCCTCAAGCCTATCCTGGATAAGACCATAATAATAAAAAGGAGACACTTCATTGAAATGAATATGGGAATAGTAACTTTTAGCCAAAAACAAAACCACATGAAGAGTTTAACTCAAAATTAATATATATGATCAGGAATTGCTAGTTTGATTTAGTATTGGGTCGACGAAAATAAAAATTTAAAATTTTAAAAGCAAAGCCATGTCTGGATTAGAGTTCTTATTGTTTTCTGTTAAATTAGGCCTCCTGTTATTAGTGATTAGTCTAGGTGCATTTTGACTAGGTATATTTATCTGTTGTACTATGTAATTTAATTATTATAGATAATAGAATAAACATAGATATTTATCTTTTATATTTTAGCTTAAAAATACTTGTCCATGCTTAGTTGGGTCGATTTATATTTTGAAACCCAGTTATAATGTACTATAGATAACTCATTTACATGTCAATCGCATGTCAATTCTGAAGGATTGCTAAAGAAAATTCAGGCCAATAGGTTTCCTACCCTACTCACAGGCTAAACTATATATTTACCCTTTTTTCCGACTAGATTTCCATCCTAACCATATGAGTGCGTACACGTTGATATATGAAATGAAATTTCACATGAATTATAATGACCTTGAATTTGAACAATACAGGCAATATAAGAATTATAATGACAATTCTAAGAACTGACCTTAGTCAATGTCTGCAAGTGGATGTGCTTTAGCCCACGATAAATCCCATAAAGGTCCAAAGCCGAGAATATTGGGTATACAAAAAATGGTAGAGTTTCCAGTAATCTTTCACAGGACAGGAGAGCCAGAAATTATAATCAATGTCGTTTTTTATAAAAATGGGGTGTTTGATTAAGCTAAGTGTACTAGCAACCTTTGATTGTTACGGAACAAAATGTTGAGGGTAGCAGCAAGCATAAGCCCAATATTGTCGAAGCATACTGTTTGAATCTGAAAACCCAAAAACGACAATCAGATTTCAAAATACTGGCAGTTCATTAGAATACTTGAAATCTAGCCAGTGTCATGTCACAACATACTTGTGACTTTGCTGAAACTTCTCCGAGATTGTCTGCTATGGCAAAACTTCTGTGAACAGCAGACTGATAAAATGTGATAAATCAAATTAATGCCACAGGGTGTCTAAACTATACAGAACAGAAAGCACACGATAGGTGGTTCTAGTTCATAAACTACGGAAAAGAAAATGAAACAATACAAAATTTAGAAAGAACATGGATATTAAAGAACTTACGCCAGTTGATATGTGGCAAGCAAGGCTTATTTGTTTGGCAATGTTGGCTATTGTCGCAAGAAGAAGGAAGTATTGGGGAAAGACGGGAGTCAACAACTCAACTCCAATGCTCAGGCTGAACAGTACAGATGTTGAGAACCTAACTCTCTTCGGTCATGAAAAGAAACAACAAAATGAATCAATTACAAATGCTCTAATGGAAAAAACTAAGACAACAAATTTACGGCTTAAAGTGGGGAAGGCATCTATAACAAAGGTTACACATATATCTATTTGCACAAGAGAACAAATTGCAGATAGTTCTAGAGGACTGGAAGGCTAGAAGCCATACCTTCAAATTGGTATCAAATGCCGAAGCAAGGCAAGCAGTGTATATGCACCTACTCAGCCGGCCGAGCCCATCCTTCAAAACCCAATTCAGCGCAGCAGCTGATGGAAGTGATCGAAAATAGCCAATTCCTATTGCCCGAAACATTGCCTAAACATTATTTCAAACATGATAGAACCAAAACACAAGGTTAGTAATGCCAAAACAAATGATCATACATAATCATGCGCAAGCACATTCCTATGATCCATCACTTCCCAATTTAATCCAATTCAATCGAAAAGCTTAAATTTGTCAAACCAAATCGGAAGGAGAATTCTGAACTCCGTACCTGAGTAGCAAGAACTTGAAGTGCAGAGCTGAAAACTCTGTGCAGAAACTTCCACTTCACATACTCTAAATAATTTGGGCCTACTACCCTCGGCAGAAAGAAGTTCCTCACAGCATCCCCACAAACTCTATTCAATTTCCTAATTGTATCCTCAAAATTAAACGATAATTGCCCCAAAGAAGATCCATCAACACCGTCCACGCAGACCAGTTTCAATTCCTCCCCATCCCACACACACCTGGAAACCTTCCCTGAGTGGCGCACCACAATAGGGAGGTCAAAACTTTTGGCACCACAACCGTTTATGCAATGCGTTTTCAGATGCTCTCCGTCTTCGAATTCATGGTTGATACTGAAGGAGGTGTCCAAGCAGTTTGACAGGGCTGAGGGTCTAAGAGAGTGCTTTGGTTTGAGTTTGGGGAATTTCATGTTATCATTTATTGGAGGCAATGTGGAGTAGAAATGGGAATTGGAACTGATGCATACTGAGAGTTTCATGATTTTTGGCGTTGGAACCAGTCTGAAAATCTACAAATCTGAAATAGTGAGTTTGAATTATGATTAGTACCTAGAAGAACATCCAGATGATGAACAGATTAGTTGTGAGCTACAATTGCTGAAATCCAGTGATTCTTGAGGATCCCTCAGGACTTCCAAAGCTAGATGAATCCAGACCATCTGTAGTATAGACCTGTAACACCTTAGTCTGTCACTCTAGATTATTACAACCAAACCTTACCAAAAGACCCATTTTCCTTGCAAAAAGACCTCTCAACACATCATTGAGGCTAATATATAGTAAATAAATGCATCCTATAGTTAGAAAGCGTAAGTAAATAATTACATGCAAGGAAATTAATAATTTAATACAAGGTTGTTTCTCTCACTCTCACCATTTATCCCAACACGCCCTCAAGAGTATCCCAAATGCTCGGTGAACCTAAAAATGTGTAATCCACATAACACATAAATGGCGATAAGCTGAGTAAGTTAGATGAATCATATAACCACATGTCTGTTATAAAATGTTTTTGTCTTAGGATTTAATTGAAAAGGGAGGAGAACTTATATAAGTACATTAAGTTATTCTAGTCACACCAAGTTTGATTTAAAGAAATTTTAACACACACAAAAACTTTTAAACCAAATAAACTCACGCACATGAATCTCAAACTCATTTAAAACAACCAAACAGAGGAGCCCCGTCCTACCCTTACCCCATGTTTGTTCATTGAGTCTTCACACTCTAGAAATCACCCAAAGAGTATATAATCAGATCCTCTACATCCCCACCCCTCCCAAACCCAAAATCAAGGTTAACATATAATTCCTAAATTACTGCTATAACTTACAAGGATCAAACCCATAATTGAAACTACGCCTATACAAACTTAGAACGCCTAACTGATTCCTCAAATATTCCTATGGCTAAGGACATATTAGATTGTCAACTATTATCATTTCAGTTGTCTTATTATCCTTTCAGACCCTAATATTAATGATGCTCCCCTCCCATACAACCAAAACACAAACATAATGATAAATGAAATAACATAGTGATCAATATAACAACAAAAACTAAGCCAACCCACAACTCCTAAGTGTGTATGTGTGTCAAACATAAATTCAATATGCATTTAAAAAAAAAAAAAAAAAAAAAAAGGAAGCTCCATTTAAAATAAGAAAGTGCACTGCACGCACACCCACTCTATATTTTCATTCTATCAGATTTTCACAAAACTACCACTTAAAATAGTGGGTTTTTCACAGCAAACAGACCCAAAACTTCAAGGAATTTTCAATCTCTTCAAAAGATATAGTAGCAAGAATACGTAATGTTGACCCATTTTAAATATACAACCCAATAACTGAAACAAAGGCCATCTAACTTGACAATCAGATTTTCGTAAAATGCAACCCAAACATATGATTTCACATATCAATGCAATATTTAAACAGTAAGCATCATACCTAAGCATGCTTATAAGCAACATATATATATATATATATATATATCTTATATACACACACACATTGCTTGAGAGCCACATCTATCGATCACCAATCCGGAAAATAGTAGCAAAGCTGCACACAATTTATTTTCAGACATTTAATACAATATAACCAAGTTAAGCCCTAAACATCCATAGATAAAGTTAATGCATTTTAAAACCACTCTTGAAACTGTCTAAACCCTGCACTCGAACTAACCTTTAAAAATGCATGAAAACGGGAAATGTTGAAAGATTGGGAAACTCCAAAGCCCAAAGTTTTACCAAACCACCTCTCGAAACCCACTTCACTAAACACAAATAGGATTATTGTATAGTTCAAAAGGTTCAGTCATTGAAAAGACACAATTATGGAGTTCACAAAGCAGGACGACAATAACATTTTTCTCAAGTTACAAACCCCACACCAAATGGTTACCAATCTCAAAACGATTCCATAAAAATACAACCAATTCACTTCTAAAAGGCCATTCAGCAATTCAAACTTAATACCATACCTGACAAGGTTTTCTTCAGAATAATATCATTAATATGCAACAAAGCATCCACCACACCACACAAATGACCACACTTAAGGCAACTATCAAGAATAAACGAAAGAAATTATCAATCAAGACAGCCCCAACCTTCCAGCTTGGAATCCAACAGAAATTCCGTTTCCCCACTGATTCATTCAAGCATTATCGGACTGGACCTATCAACTCCGGACCAGTCACCTTCGCTCGCCGCCGGTCACTTCTGTGCGACTCGACACCACCACAGACTAACGCCTTCACCAACAACCAGCTTCTCCTTGCCCTTGGCTCGCCTGAGAAGATGAGCGTGGGCGCGCCTCAACACCAGCCTCAATCCAGAATCTCCGAGCGGCGCGTCGCCGCTGGAATAAGACTTCCACGACCAGAACTCGCCTTTTCTTGCCCAAGCCTTCGTCGTACGCTGGTGGTGCCGTTGCTCTCGCTCGTCGGCGCCTGTCTCTCACGTCTTCTTCTCGACACCATTTCCATCTTCTTTATTTGGATCCTATTTGGGTTATGGGTTATTGGGTTTGGGTCTTAATTTTTATTTTTAATTTTTGGATCTTAGTTTTAGTTTGGGCCTTTAGACCATCATTTGGATTTTAATAATTCTCTAGTTATTATTCATTAATTTTTTTAAAAATATATATAAAATTAAAGTTTTATTTTTTATATTATGCTAATAATTAATTTTATATTCAAAATTTAGTGTATTTTTTCTTGGTAAAAATTTGAAAAATTTTGATTTAAATTTAATAATAAAATAATATTTAATGAGATATTTTATAAGGTTAAAAAATATATTTCGAGTCCAAATAATAATGTTTGAAATTTTTTTTAAAAGAAATACATCATAAATTAATATCTATTTATATCATATCAAATAGATATTTAAATTTAAAATATTTATTATTTAAAACTCAAATTTAAACCTCAAACCCCCCAACAAACGGTTGTTTTTTGAATTACTTTTATTTGGTTTGTATTATTCGAAGTAGGTATTTGTGTACATATTTTTTATTTTAAATACATATGTTTTATTTTAAGCATAAAAATATGTTAATAATATAAAAAATAATATTTTGTATTAGACTATTAAATTTTTAAAATAAATATAATAGTATATTATATATATATTGTATAAATATGAATATATTATCGAAAAGCATGTAAAAATAATTGTTGAATGAGCGCATCTATTATGTTTTCATACAACCTTTCTTACTTAACTTGCATTATATTTGAATAATAGTTTAGATGTAACAGTTTATATAATAAAATAATACTATATATTTATAGAAGTTATATAATAATAAAAGAAAAATAAAACTAAACTTCATTGTATTTAAAATATTATTTGTTTAAAGTTTTAAACTAAAGTTATATGTTTTTATTTAAAACATTATATCCGACAATTCTATAAATTATATTGTTTATGGTCAACATTCAACGTAAAATATTATTTTTTACTCTCTCCGTCTCAATACAATAGTCTTGTTTATCATTTTTGTCCGTCTCAAAACAATAATCTTATTTTCATAAATAACCATATGACCACAAAACTACTCCTACTTTTTCATTTTTATTACACAATTGTCACTACTTTTTACACTAATACACTCACAAGGGCAAAAAAAATTTTATCTATCGTATTTACCAACTACCAATATAATATCAATATTCCTTAAATCTCGTACTCAACTCAATTAAGACTATAATTCTAGGACGGAGAGAGAGTATGTTACTATTATAATTCTTTGTAGCTAATATGAAATCACATTGCACTAAAAAAAATATAAAGTGAACTAACCCAATTTCTCCTTTCCAATTATTGCACAACAAACTTAATTGGAAAAATACTTTATATACTATTCTCCATTTTTATTTTTTTTTTAGCTAACTCTCCTCTCTTTTGTAAAATTATCTTTATTTTTTACAACAATTATATAAAGTAGAAATATTTTGATCTTTTAAAAATATTTTTACACTCAATATCAATATAATATTAATATTTTTAAATTTTCGTGCTCACTCCCAATGTACCCAAAGTATTAGATTGACAAATAATCCAATTATTAGTAATGTTTATAGTCATTTTGGTAAATGCACATTAATATTTTTAAATTTTGTATTCGATATCTAATTGTTTTTCTTAGTGAATATGCAATGTGTGTTGCTGGATTGCAAAGTAGTTTATGTGGTTGATTAGAATATGTAGGTTTATGTGTTAAAATATGTTTAATCTTGCTTGTGTTTTTGTTTTTGTAGTAATTGTGTGTATTACATAGTAGATTGTTGTGTGTGCAATCTAGGTAAATATTAGAATCTATGGCTCTACGTAAGGTATGTTTAGTCTATATTGATATTTTCTCGTGAGTGCAGTAAGAGACAAAAGATGATGATGAAATTTATTGGTGTAGATAAGTCTACATATGTGTATATAATAAGTATGTAACTTGGAGTTAGTTAAATCACAGAAAAAAATAGGTTGAGATTGTTGAAAATTATGGTATTTTGTAGTCTAACCAAACTTGTTCTTTGATAATACAATTACAACCAATCAAATATAAACAACACAATTGATAGGTTCATTCAACAATATCTAGATTGTTGTGTGTGCAATCTAGGTAAATATTAGAATCTATGGCTCTACGTAAGGTATGTTTAGTCTATATTGATATTTTCTCGTGAGTGCAATAAGAGACAAAAGATGATGATGAAATTTATTGGTGTAGATAAGTCTACATATGTGTATATAATAAGTATGTAACTTGGAGTTAGTTAAATCACAGAAAAAAATAGGTTGAGATTGTTGAAAATTATGGTATTTTGTAGTCTAACCAAACTTGTTCTTTGATAATACAATTACAACCAATCAAATATAAACAACACAATTGATAGGTTCATTCAACAATATCTAGATTGTTGTGTGTGCAATCTAGGTAAATATTAGAATCTATGGCTCTACGTAAGGTATGTTTAGTCTATATTGATATTTTCTCGTGAGTGCAATAAGAGACAAAAGATGATGATGAAATTTATTGGTGTAGATAAGTCTACATATGTGTATATAATAAGTATGTAACTTGGAGTTAGTTAAATCACAGAAAAAAATAGGTTGAGATTGTTGAAAATTATGGTATTTTGTAGTCTAACCAAACTTGTTCTCTGATAATACAATTACAACCAATCAAATATAAACAACACAATTGATAGGTTCATTCAACAATATCTAGATTGTTGTGTGTGCAATCTAGGTAAATATTAGAATCTATGGCTCTACGTAAGGTATGTTTAGTCTATATTGATATTTTCTCGTGAGTGCAATAAGAGACAAAAGATGATGATGAAATTTATTGGTGTAGATAAGTCTACATATGTGTATATAATAAGTATGTAACTTGGAGTTAATTAAATCACAGAAAAAAATAGGTTGAGATTGTTGAAAATTATGGTATTTCGTAGTCTAACTAAACTTGTTCTCTGATAATACAATTACAACCAATCAAATATAAACAACACAATTGATAGGTTCATTCAACAATATTTGTCAAAGATTTAGGAATTTATATTGCACTTTATTCATTAATGTAGCACAATAAATTATGCAGGATAGCATAATAGCCGATTTTTTTTTTTTTATGGACAATAATGTTATATTTCAACATATGTATAGTTATAAAGAAAATAATTCATATGAAGAAAATAGTACAAGATGTATTTTCATTTAACAAAATAATATTATTATACTACACATAATATGTTACTCTATTTTACAAATTTACCACAAATTTAGCTAAGTGTTACCACATGTGCATTTATTCAATACAATATGTACTTTCATTCAGGTAAAATAGACAAAACAACGTATAGTTGGTACGTATTAGGTCTCTAATTGCAAAAATCAAAATTAAAGAGAAACAAACACTATTAATAAAAAAAGGTTGAAGTAATTTTTATTTTTTTTTAAAAAAAGATAAAACTCTGGAAAAAAGCAAAAAAAAAAAAAAACAATACATCATAATAGACACTTTTTTTATTTGTGGACAATAATATTACGTTTCAGCACATATATAGTTAAAAAAAAAAATTCATGCAGAGAATATAACACAAGATGTATTTTTATTCGATACAATAATATTACTTTACAAAAAATTTAATATACTATCTTGTTTTTAAATTCAGTAAAAAAGTGGCTAAATATTAGAACATATTGTGCATTTACTCAACATAATATAAAATTTTATTTAGCTAGAACAGACAAAAGAGCGAACGGTTGCTGTGCATCTAACATTCAATGCAGTAATAAATTTAAGAGTAGCAAACATTATTAATCAAAAGCTTGAAGTAATGCAAACATGAAAAAAAAAAAAAAAAAAAAAAGATAAAACTGCAATGGAAGTACAATAAACAGACAATACATTACAATAGAACCTTTTATTTATGGACAATAATTTTACATTTCAACACATTATAGTTACAAAGAAGCAAATTTATACAAGGAATATAACACAAAATATGATTTCATTCGGTACAATAATATTACTTTACTACAAATATAATATGTTACTCGTGCTTTAAAAGTTTAACTCAAAAGTAACAAAAGGTGTCAGCACCTATATATATATATGTATTTATTCAACATAATATATAATTTCATTCATTTATATATATATATATATAAAAAGACTGAACAATTGATGCACATAAGATCTTAAATTCCAACAATCAAAATTATGATAAACAAACACCTTAAATCAAAAGCTTGAAGTAATCTAAACACAAAAAATGATAAAGTTATAGTAAAAGTACTAAGTTTTCCGAGAAAGCAAAGCACACAAAAATAGTTGGTATCTTGAATGTGAAATAGTTGATTTATCGGATGTTGAAGAGATGGGCATAAGCACAATTGAAGGAATTCAATATTGACAACCAAATAGAATAGTTTGGATATTTGGACAGGATATTGCAGAATTCCATTTATTGCTACCAAGGAATGCGAAGGACAAATGCTTATTTGAAAAATTCTTCTGCAATAAAAAAATAAATAGCTTGTATAAAGGGTGGAAAAATGAGAATTTTGTTTTTGAAAAGGAAATTGAGAAGGAAAAAGTTAAGCTTTTAGAGGATTTGATAATCCTATTTTTGTCATTCCACAAAGATTTGTTGGCATGAGGGTCAAAGAAAGAAATATCTGCCATTAAAGGACGTCATCTTGTCGGATGAGATGGAAATTGAGAAAGAATTTCCTGAAAATGAAAAGATGATTTATACTTCTACAACCTCACCTTCGAATAAGGCCATGTCTGTTAGATGTCTAGCAGTGGGATTGATGCATTGGGTAGGGATACTGCTCAGTGCTCTTTTCTTGCATCGAACATTTTCTATCGAAGTAGTTTCCGAGCAGCCATTTCCTTTGCAGCTTTCAACATCGGGCCTGACCCTTGACCTTCTAAGAGCACATTTTTTAGTTGCACCTTGAGTTCCGCAT